TTTTCGCTGCTGACGGTTCTGAGGCAACTGCCGGACCCAAATCCAAAGCGGACCACGGCGCCGTGGCCGCTTCACTCGAAAGTCAACTTGGAAGCTGTGCGTACCAAGATGCAGTTCATGCTGCTCACGTTTGTCCCATACGACCTCCAGGGGTTTCTCACCAGCGTCGTGGCCATCTGCAGCTACTTTCGCCTTCGAACGCGGTTCGACCTGGGCCTGAGTCTCAAAGCCATCAACCCGTCGTCGATCGAGTTTGACGAACCCCTCGCTATCCTCGGCCAAGGCGCGTTCGCTGTCGTGGTCAAGGCTACGTGGTTCCCGTCGCGGCAGCTCGAGTACGGCACTGTGCTCGGCTGCTTGTTCCCTATGACTGCCGCCAAGAGCTCGACCAGCACTGACAACCACCCTCGACGACGACCCATGTCTCCCCATGACAACACGAGTGTGCGCGTCGCAGTCAAAACGTTCAAGCTCGAACGCAACGGCGCCAACTCGACGCTGAATGGGATCCAGGAAGAAGCGTACTTGGCGTCCAAGCTCATCCACCCCAACATCATGGCCACGTACGGGTGCTACACGGTAGGCTCGACGCTCTACCTTGTGTGCGAATACCTCGGCGGCGGCACCCTCCAAGACGTGATCGACACGGCACAGCCATTGCCGTACGAACAAGTGCTGCTGTACGCGCTGCAAATTGCCTCTGGCATGGAGTTTCTCCACGGGTTGGCGGTGCCCGTGATCCATCGGTATATGTATGATGTCTCTCGTCCTACATGTACAGTACTGGCTAACACGTACACTATTTTTTTGACGGACTGTAGCGATCTGAAGCCCCTCAACTGCTGCTTTGACCAAACTCACTCGACGCTCAAGCTCGTGGACTTTGGGTTCTCGAGGCTGTTCCGGGCCGACCCGAAACAAGCCGCCAGCAACACGACGCCGCGCCCGACGACGTGCACTGACAGGGAAATGGAATCGCGCCGCACCAACCTACCGCTGTTTAGCAGCGCCACGTCCCGGTTTTCACGCGTTCCAGAGCAACTCGGGGACTCGGGGCACACGTGCCCGTCGTTGCTGCTCACGTCGCGCGTGGGGACGGTGTGTTGGGCGGCGCCCGAAGTGCTCTCAGAGGACGAACAGACGCGGTACAGCCTCAAGGTGGACGTGTACAGCTTCGGCATCATATGTTGGCAGCTGTACACTGGCAAGCAGCCCTTCAGCGACATCCCTGGCAGCGTCTTGGCCGTGGAGGAGGCGGTGCTGCAAGGCACGCGGCCCCGAATCCCCGACGACTGCCCCGTGCACTTTGCCAAGCTCATGCGGCGCGCGTGGCATGCCAATCCGGACCGCCGCCCGTCGTTCGTGGACGTCGTGCGCGTGCTCGCGGCCGAGCTCAACCAGTTCCACATGTTTGGCACTGTGCGCAGCGAACCCAAGAGTCCATGCGACTGGGACTAACTAGGCTTCTATTTAACGAGCTACTACTATTTATGTGTCGCATTCGAAGCAGGTGTCGATATTATTGTATGCTAAGGCTGTGCTTTTCATGTCCGACATCCATAACCCCAACTACAGTACACATCAGCGGGCCCTCTACCTTACTTTGGGCCCCCGATATATGACAGAGGTTTGGCAAGCCATATTCCATACTAGTAGGCATCTTGCAAACACCAGTCGAACATGACAACAGACACATAAATAGTAGTAGCTCGTTAAATAGAAGCCTAGTTAGTCCCAGTCGCATGGACTCTTGGGTTCGCTGCGCACAGTGCCAAACATGTGGAACTGGTTGAGCTCGGCCGCGAGCACGCGCACGACGTCCACGAACGACGGGCGGCGGTCCGGATTGGCATGCCACGCGCGCCGCATGAGCTTGGCAAAGTGCACGGGGCAGTCGTCGGGGATTCGGGGCCGCGTGCCTTGCAGCACCGCCTCCTCCACGGCCAAGACGCTGCCAGGGATGTCGCTGAAGGGCTGCTTGCCAGTGTACAGCTGCCAACATATGATGCCGAAGCTGTACACGTCCACCTTGAGGCTGTACCGCGTCTGTTCGTCCTCTGAGAGCACTTCGGGCGCCGCCCAACACACCGTCCCCACGCGCGACGTGAGCAGCAACGACGGGCACGTGTGCCCCGAGTCCCCGAGTTGCTCTGGAACGCGTGAAAACCGGGACGTGGCGCTGCTAAACAGCGGTAGGTTGGTGCGGCGCGATTCCATTTCCCTGTCAGTGCACGTCGTCGGGCGCGGCGTCGTGTTGCTGGCGGCTTGTTTCGGGTCGGCCCGGAACAGCCTCGAGAACCCAAAGTCCACGAGCTTGAGCGTCGAGTGAGTTTGGTCAAAGCAGCAGTTGAGGGGCTTCAGATCGCTACAGTCCGTCAAAAAAATAGTGTACGTGTTAGCCAGTACTGTACATGTAGGACGAGAGACATCATACATATACCGATGGATCACGGGCACCGCCAACCCGTGGAGAAACTCCATGCCAGAGGCAATTTGCAGCGCGTACAGCAGCACTTGTTCGTACGGCAATGGCTGTGCCGTGTCGATCACGTCTTGGAGGGTGCCGCCGCCGAGGTATTCGCACACAAGGTAGAGCGTCGAGCCTACCGTGTAGCACCCGTACGTGGCCATGATGTTGGGGTGGATGAGCTTGGACGCCAAGTACGCTTCTTCCTGGATCCCATTCAGCGTCGAGTTGGCGCCGTTGCGTTCGAGCTTGAACGTTTTGACTGCGACGCGCACACTCGTGTTGTCATGGGGAGACATGGGTCGTCGTCGAGGGTGGTTGTCAGTGCTGGTCGAGCTCTTGGCGGCAGTCATAGGGAACAAGCAGCCGAGCACAGTGCCGTACTCGAGCTGCCGCGACGGGAACCACGTAGCCTTGACCACGACAGCGAACGCGCCTTGGCCGAGGATAGCGAGGGGTTCGTCAAACTCGATCGACGACGGGTTGATGGCTTTGAGACTCAGGCCCAGGTCGAACCGCGTTCGAAGGCGAAAGTAGCTGCAGATGGCCACGACGCTGGTGAGAAACCCCTGGAGGTCGTATGGGACAAACGTGAGCAGCATGAACTGCATCTTGGTACGCACAGCTTCCAAGTTGACTTTCGAGTGAAGCGGCCACGGCGCCGTGGTCCGCTTTGGATTTGGGTCCGGCAGTTGCCTCAGAACCGTCAGCAGCGAAAACAAAAACAACGAGATGCCCCACGTGACGACAAATACCATGACGTGGTACGTCGCGACCGACTTGAACGTGCGGCGGGCGTTCGCCGGGTACAAGTCGTGAATCTTAGCGCGAATGCGAAAGTACAGCGCGGTGACAGTGGCTAGCCCGATGGCCGGCGCAATCATGTTGTTGAGCATTTGCGTCTCTGGGCTCATGCACACGTGGTTGTTGTACCGACACAGGTTGGGCTGCTTCTTCTGCTGTTTGGCGGTGGTGGCGTCGTCCGGGTGTGTGGCGAATGAGATGGCCACCGCCACCGCAACGGACAAGCTCAAGACGAGCGCGATCCACCGATTGAGCTTCCTGTCCATGTGCCTCGTGTCGCAAAGTGCTTCGACGGGCGACCCCACCGACTGCAGCAGTCGCAACGTGATGGCAATCGTAAACGCAATTTGGCTCAAGTTGAAGGTCGTGCTGAGGATGCTGCTGGGAAGACCGCAGTAGTCGGTGGTCCGGCACATGAACGCTTGGTGGTTGGTGCTATTCCATTGACTGTTCCTGTCTGGCAATGTGAGAAGTGGGGCGATGGCCACGTAGAACCGACTCGCCAAGAAACCCAGCTGCGACAGTAGCAGCGGCATGATGAGCGGCATCGAGTTGAACCGGAACGTTGGCTTCAACACGTAGCACAACATGACTGTGAGCACGCCGAGGATGCTCAGGACGCGGCACGAGTTGGGCAAACTAAACACAAAGATGTCGAACGCGGTCACTTCAGGAAAGTCGGACGCGTTGAGCGACGCAGAGTCTTTTGTCACCTCTTGCTGCATGACAAACCCAAGGAAGATCACGGCGGCAAACGACACGGCGACGATCAGGCACATCACCAGCATGCGCAGCGGACTGTACGCGCGGCAACAGCGCGTGGACCACGACGTCGCGTGCGGGTTGGCGGCGTGGTCGGGAGATTGCAAGAAGGAGAAGTCACTGCTGCTGTCTATGCTGCCATGGCACGGGAGCGGGTCGTGCGGGCACTCACTGATCGTGATGTCATGGCTGCTGACCTCCGTCGATGGCGGCATGGGGGTGCCCCTGACCATGAACGCAATACTTTTATGTAGGCGAGTGAGGGTTGGCAATTGAATGTCATCCAAATGAGACAGAACAGGCAGAGCCAGTCCACCTACAGTAGTAGCCTTTTCCCGCTCACTCTCTCGTGTTTCACCCACTCTCAACTTACCAAGCAACCTGGTTGCTAATACACTTCAGGAGTAACGTTCTCATGATGACCACGAGCATACTCCCACGACGATAACCTGGACACCAGGTTGCTCTGGCATGATGACAGCCCTAATGTCTTGATCTATAAGTGCATACTCATCACTCCAACCCCGTTCAGGCTTTCCATACCATGGACCGCTGTCGGTGGGACGTTGAAGTTGCTCACATGTGTGTCGGTCGTACCTGTATCATCGGACATTCATCCGCCAGTTACGTTTTTGTCGTGCATTGCCCTTGCAAAGCCACATAAGAACTCGCAGTAGTTGAAGTCTCTCGCAGTGGGCTAACCGTGCTACATTATGGGTTGGTGGTGATGGACGAATTTCACCGTGTGAGCCAGTCGGTATGTAATCAGGGCAGACTGTTATTCCACCGCTCCGATCCGGTGACTAGAGGCACTGATGTGCATTGCCAACAATGCCGATACAAAGTGTAGTTTAACGTCGTTACCGTTATGCAGCGAATGGGCCAAAGACTGCCGCCTTCTTCGTGACGAATTGGCTTTCACGTAGTACCAACATCTACAACGCGCCGAACAAGATATCAGAACATTGTCAAGTGCACTACATTCAAACAAGCCAGTGGGGTGGGCTAACCTTAAGAACTTTCTTGCCTAACGTATGTGCGCCAGATTACTCGAATGTCCATAATCGAAGTTCGATGTACTTGTACTAACGTTATGAATACCACGAGGCCTTCTTTGATTTCTTACCACTTGCGCAATACCTAGAAGCCAAAGGGTCTGATGCCTCCGTCGTGTTTGGCTGGCCCACCCCCCGACCCCAATTCGTACTTTTATATCCTCAACCCATTGCTGCTCGCCTATCTCAATACCGGTAAGACCCTACTTCAAGCAAAGCTTGACGACACATTCTCTCGCCATCATACTAGTACCCCGTGCACACAATGTTGAGTGCAGCATAGTGGTATACTGTTTGCTCTACGGATTGCTGAAATACCAGTAGAAGGGCATGTAGCACGCCCTTAAGAGCATCCCCATCGGTGCTGAATCCACTGAGATACCTCTGAGGTCGGGAATGTGAAGAGCTGACCTTCGCAAATTGTGCTTCGCCTAGTCTAGGTGTCTTTGTGACGAGATTCCCGGGACGACACAGACGGTAACCTGCATCAGGAAATGTTATGTACGCCTAGTTATGAATTCAAACACAAGCATACAAGCCTAATCGCCTTTTGTACAAACGCAACATGATAACCACTGTAATAATTTCACTCTGGTTACTGTACTGTGGTAACGTTTGGTGAACAGAGTTTACCTTCTGCACGCTTTGACTGGTTGGCCAATGTATTAGCTGCTAAAACTACTGGCAGAAATGTTGAAAAGCACAATAATACAGTACTACCGGTAACTAGTTATTAATATTAATACTTCGTACGTCAGTCAATAACAAACAAAGTTTCGGCAATCTGCCTTGTTGAAAGTATTGCTATCGACCATATGATTGGTGGATAATACGGTAAACTCCATGAATAACAGCGAATCCGAGTGCTGAATTGTTCACTTAATGGAGGGAGGTTGTTCACAATATACAGGGAAGGCATATGAGTGGTTGGTTGGCTGCGTCCAAGTTGAAGTGGCTTTCAACGTGGCTACGATTGAGTGGTGTCGAGAGGCTAGCGGCTCCATACTAACCTACTTTCCAATCTCCTGGCAACATGGTAAAGCGAAAGAAGCATGACAAGGACAAGTACTACAACTTGGCCCGTCAGCAAGGGTACCGCGCTCGGTCAGCGTTCAAGCTGATCCAGCTCAACAAGAAGTATGACTTCCTCTCCAAAGCCAAGGTGTGCATCGACTTGTGTGCGGCGCCAGGGGGGTGGTGTCAGGTCGCAGCCAAGTACATGCCTGCGTCGTCGATCATCCTCGGGATAGATCTTTTGCCGATCCGGCCCATTCGCGGCGTCAAGACGTACGAATGCGACATCACGACCGCGCGATGCCGCCAAATCATCAAGCAAGAGATGCAGAGCTGGTCCGCGGACGTTGTTCTCTGCGATGGTGCGCCCAACGTCGGGTCCGAGTACTCCAAGGACGCGTACGTCCAGAACGAACTGGCGCTGATCGCGCTCAAGCTCGCCGTGGACGTGATGGGCAAGGGCGGGACCTTTGTCTCCAAGGTGTTTCGATCGCAAGACTACAACGCCCTCCTCTGGGTGTTCAAGCAACTGTTCAAGAAGGTCAGCGCCACCAAGCCTCTGTCGTCGCGTAACGAGTCGGCGGAAATCTTTGTCGTGTGCGAAGACTACCTTGCCCCGCATAGCATTGATCCCAAGCTACTCGACCCCGAGCACGTGTTTGCCCAGCTCGAGAAGGAAAAGGACAGCGCGTTAACCATCTTCCACCCCAAATATGGCCAGCAAAAGCGACACCGTGAAGGTAACGTCGTCGCATTTTCTGTAATGTCGGCTTCACTATCTAGAGTCTCTGGCTATCCTGTACCTCTATGGATACGCCAGCGCTACCTGGAGCCTAGAGCAACATCAAGCGGCACCGCCTCCATGTCTTCTCTACATGCCGGGCGGTGTCGAGAACTATGACATTTCGTTTTGATGACGTGATCATTCTTTGTGTATTATCGTTGAGACTGACATATGTACCTGTCATCGTGGCGTGTAGGGTACGATGAGACACTTGGCCAGACATTAACGAGAACACTGACAGTCTCCGACTTTGTTGGCACGATGGACGCCATCCGCATGCTCACAGACGCCACATCCATCGCGTTTGGCCCTGACGACGACATGTTTAAAGATCATGCGTCCACCACCCATGAAATCAAGGCCTGTCTCAGCGATCTCAAGGTAACTAACCACGTCTCAGAAGTATTTTTGTGTGTATTGCATATTTGGACGAAACGTGATGAAGCAATTCCCCTCGTGAATGTCGGCCCGTTGTTGTCTTGGCGCCCGATTAACTTTGGGATAACCCTCCTTGAGCCAGCGGCGTTGCTGCACGATCAACGCACACCAGTGCTGTCTGATTTCGTCTATATATATATATATTTATTTATATGTCTATCACAAGGTGGCTAAGTCTCGTGTATCTATATATATAGGTGCTGGGCAAAGGGGACTTTAAGAGTCTGTTGAAATGGCGCACCAAAATGCAAAAGTACCAGGACGAACTACTCAAGGCGGCTGCCCCCGAAGAAGACGTCGACGTGTTGCCAGTGGAACCAACTCCAGCTCGTGAACTCACAGAGGAGGAGAAGAACGCTGCCGTTCGTGAAGAACTTGCTCAGCTACGTGCAAACGTCCTTGCCAAGAAGAAGCGTGAAAAGAAAAAGGTATGTCACGTGGTTTATATGTGTGAACAATGTATATATATCACGTCATATGTGATGACGCCGGAGTCTTCCCAGTAGCCGCTGTCATCTGTAGACAGTGCGATGGACTAACCCTCCCGCCCCCGTAAACCTCCCAAACAAACTGTCGCCTTGTGATCACATAGTTGCAGGTCCTTTAGGGCTTGGAATGCTGTGACGCAATGCGCACATTGATATGTTTTGATTTATATATATATATATATATTATATTGCTGTATCCAAAAGTCCGTGTTGTTTCGACATTGCTTGTCTCCGTCAACATCGATTGGTCTTTGAACGGACCGACTATTGAAGTCAGCTACAATCACTTGATCCTTCAGCTGTATTCCTCGCCTTGGACTATGCGAGTGCGATACCGTTTATGGCTCACACATTTCGAATCTTTTTAGTACCTTACTTCGCTCTTCCTTTTCTATTCATTCATCCATGCTTACAATGTATGTATATACCACCTTCTAGGAGCGTGAAAAGAAGGCCAAGGAACGTGTACGCGCGGCTTTTGGCATGAACGAAGCCGGCATTGAGCTCACGGACGACATGCAAGCGTTCAGCCTCAAGAAATTGGGGGTCAAGAACGTGGCCGATGTCGACGACGGAGCGTACATCTCGGACGCTTCTGACAGCGACGACGACATTGTGGCGCCAGGTAGCCGCGGTACAGCGCAAGGCGACGATGAAGATGGCAGTGACGATGACAACGGCTACGATGCCCTGCTCGAGTCCCAGATGGATAAGCTGTACGACGACTACATCTCCCGCAAGGGCGACGGCCAAAAGACAAAGAAGGCGGTGAAGCGAACCAAGATTGCTAAGCGCGCGTTGGCAGGGGAAGCCCTGGTGGAAGACCATGCAATGTTTGATGGAGACCAAGAAGCATATCGGAAGCAGATCAACCCTGAAGAGGTGCGCACTGTTTGATGTCGTGCTTGTATGTTTATCTCCGCCCCCATGTCGTGTTATCTGTTCCGAGTCCTCTCCCGTACTCTTGTTCAGTTGTCAAACCATGGGCAGATCACCCGCGGACTTTTATATGTCTGACTCCCTCAGTCCTTTTGGTTGCTTTGGGGGTCCTACAAAAGTCCAACATTCCGACTTTGCCTTTTTTTTAAAATACTTTATATATATTTTTATTTATAATACTCATGTGATTGAATCTATTAGAGCTCGGACGACAGCGACGACGAAAATGACAACCAGAAAGCCAACAACCCCCTCGTCGTCTCGCTCAGACGCCCCGAACGCCCCAGTGCGGTGGCATCTCGTTGGTTTTCTGGCAATGCATTGTTTGACGAAGTCAAGGACGAGCTGCCCCAAGTCGTAGTCGACAAGGACGGCGACGCGGTGCCGGTTATGCCCTTGACGGACAAGGAGAAGCGCCATCTCAAGCGCAAGGAAGCTCTGGAGCGAAAGGACCGCCGCGGCGCCAAGAAGCAGCGTCTGGAAGATGAAGAGTTGGCCAAGCTGGCTTCTGACGATGAAGACGGGTTCCTGGATGACGAAGCCACCGCCACCGCCAAGGAGGAGGCGCGGAAGACGCCGCTGACGGCGCTCCAACTGCAGCGCAAGAACGAAAAAGAGTCGTTGATCAAGGCGGGCATGGGAAGCGCCGCGCACATCCCCGTGTCTTCGACTAGTGCGTTTGAAGTGGTCAAGGCCGACGTGGAACTACCGGTGATGGACGCGCGGCAGTACGACAGCGATCATGAGGACTACGATGAAGAAGACAAGGCGCGGACGATGGCGATTGCGACCATGATGCTCAAGAAGCACAAGGCTAAGGAAATGGTGGACGATTCGTACAATCGATACGCGTGGAACGACCCGACCGACCTCCCCGACTGGTTTCTGGACGACGAGGAGCGGCACTACCGCCCCCAGCTCACCGTCCCCAAGCACCTCATGGACCAGATGAAGGAAAAGTTTATGGACATTGCCACGAAACCGGTCAAGAAGGTGGCGGAAGCGCGCGCCCGCAAACGCCGACAGACGCTCAAGAAGGTCAAGGCGGCCAAGAAGAAGGCCAACGACATTGCCAACCTGCCCGACATGTCGACCCGCGAGAAGCTCAAGGCCATCGACAAGGCCATGAAGACTGCCAAGACCAAGAAAGAGTCCAAGCTGTACGTAATTAGTCGGCGCGGTCGGTCTGCCGCCAACACCAAGGGCCACAAGAAGGGCGACAAGGGCGCGGTCAAGGTTGTGGACCCCCGCATGAAGTCGGACAAGCGCAACGCGGAGAAGCGCGAGAAGCGAAAGGGCGGCGGCAAACGGAAAAAGTAACAGTGCCGACGTATAGAAAATTATAATTTATTCGTATACTACTACCGTTATGACTTTGTCCGCACCTACTACATACTTGTTACACAATGCTTGCTGTGCTGTGCTTAGCTTGTGTGTTCATGAGGTGTCAATATCACTTTTAATAGTTTAAAAGTGATATGAACTACTGTGTAATGCTGTAGTATATCTGAAAATAAAGTGAAGTGTATGATGATGTCACCAAGTTGTTGTGGCTTTCAACGAAGCGAAGTGCATATTGAGCTTTATACCATGCACACTATACTATCCCATTGATTGTTCGCAACGAGCCAACGTTGCTACCATTGGCCCTAGTTGAGGTTTGTTATGTCAACGTTGTTCGACGTGTGCACGAGGTTGGAGGCGACGAGGGACTTGAACTAGTCGACCGATGATTTGTACTGGTCGAGCTAAATTTAGCGGCCGCTGTTATCGAGCGTGTTTCGATGAAGGACAAGGCGGGGCAACACGACAACGAAGAGCCACCTCTGCATCTGGAAGACGAGGACGCTTTGTATGGATGGAGTGAACCCCATCTCGAGGAGACATTGAGCCAGCTCACGGTTGACTGGTCACGGCCGCTGACGATGGTGGAGCAGGAAGACCAACTGGAAATGTGTCGGGAAACGCAGCGCAAGTTGTACAAACAAAAGAAGGCCAAGCTGGCTGCCCAAGCCGCCGCCGAAGACAGACTCGTAACACACACTCGCACGTGCCATCGGGAACTCTTGTCCCACCGTCCCCAAGCCCGAATCGTCCCTGTCGTGATGGAATTGGACTCCCCACCCCTCGACGATACGCAGCTACACAGCTCCATACCTCGATCTGAAGCCGAGCTGCACGCCCTCACGCTGAGTCTCCACGCACGGCAACGCATACGAACGATGAAACTTCGGTCTCTATCGCCGCCCCCACTGTCGGAGCAGCTGCCCCCAGCCACGCCCCCTACTGTTCGGGTATGCACCGTCCCGCCAGCCGTAGTACTTGAGCTGGACAAAACCAGTTTGCCCAAAGTGACAGATCCCCCCCGGTGGGGCCCCATGCTGGACGACGCCGATATTTACGCCCATGAGACCCACTACTCGAACAACCTCCCCATGCGGGTGAAAAAGGGGCTGAGTTTCCAGACGACCCCCCCTCTTCGGCCTATCGAACGTGACCAAGCGCAGAAGGCGCTAGCACACAAGTCCAAGACAAGGCGGCGCCTTGAGCTGCAACAGTTGGAGCAGGCGCTTTCGATTCGAGAGACGCGCAAGGTCGATATCGAGCGGCAAATGCGCCTGGTTCGAAGCCTGGCGACGCTGCGGCAACCCCTTGACGCACTCACAATCCCGCAAATCAACGTGTCCGTGCCAAGCATGTCGACATTGACCTTATCTATCGAGAAACGCCCGAGCGGCAGCGCGACCACCATCGCTCGAAGTGTCAGCACGCCACTGCTGGAGCCCCCACGACCAAATAGAGGCTACAATCGATACGTTACATAATCGAAATGGCATGCCAAACCAATCCCCCCTCCCGACGAATTATGTTTTGGCGGCTACGCGGCATTTAGTCTCAATAAAATACACGTACGTACGTATGTATGTATATATACATATGTACACGTGCACAGTAGTATTCCATTGTACCGACGAACAACCACACGGCTTTGGTACTATTTTACCACTTCAATATGAAACGTATCTTCTTTCAGGAGGGGATGAGGGCTTGCTTATCACGACCTGTTCCTCTGGTTGTCGAGTGCCCCACCTCTTACAAGACGGCATGTTACTTGCAACGTAAATGCTGCGTATAGGTTGTCCGGTGTCTGTCAACACACAACACACGCCATCACGATACTACAACGCAGTCCTATTACAATACTACGTAGTACTTCGTATTAGAACAATTCACAGCTTCTAAATTAAGTACTACTTCGAAGTAATAAAGTTAAAGTTAAACAAACATACTGTCTCTGGATTTCAAGGAGGCTAAAAATAGATCGCGGCCAAGTGACGTGTGTGGTAACTGCCGCCACCGTCCAACTGAACGATCGACACTCAACTGGAGGCACACGATTCCACATTTCTTTCGTCGGACGTCTGTCGTGATGCCGATAGACGCCGCTAGCGCGCCCACGGCGACGACAGTCCCGCCGTCCTCAAAACCACGACCATCCGTCGAAAACCAAGATGAAGTCACCGCGGAAGAGCTGCTGGACCAGGAATTGATCCAACGCGCGGGGTCGTTAACGCTGGACCCCGTCGCCATGGCTGCCGCCGAAGAGCACTTGGACGTGGAAGAATCGACCGCCGCGTTGTCCGCGTTGCTAGCTCTCGAAGACAACGAGCACTGCGCCGATTGCCAGGCTCTCCATCCCAAGTAAGCTGCTCACTAACCCCACTGTTGACTTCGTTCACACGAATATGCTACGTAGATGGGCCATCATCACACACGGCGGGTTCATCTGCACCCAGTGCGCGGGGGTGCATCGTTCGTTGGGGGTGCACATCTCGTTCGTCCTCAGTTGCACGTTGGATAAGTGGACGCCGTTGCAGTTGGCAGCACTCGTCGCTGGCGGCAACACCAAACTCAACGAATGCCTTGAGTTTTCCGTCCCTGAATCCTTCCGCAAGCCCCACGCCGACGCCTTGCGCGAGGATCGCGCCGCGTACATCCACACCAAGTACGTCGAACAAGCGTTCCGGATGGGCCCCAACAAACGGCGCCAGGAAGCCATCCTCGCATCCCCCTCGTCGACCCCCACCCACGCCCCCCGACGTAGTACATTGTATTCTCCTCATTCTTCCCCAACTGACCATGAGCGAGCACTCCCCTAGAGGTCGCCGTGTCCTCGCACGGATCGTGCGGTATGGTGGAATACGTGGGGATTGTCACGATTGAGCTGGTCGAGGGGTCGACGTTAGCAGCGATGGACGTCAACGGCAGCTCGGACCCGTACGTGTCGTTCCGCCTCGGGGACCAAGTCGTGTCCAGCCACACCGTCAAACACTCGCTTAATCCGGTGTGGAAGGAAACGCTGCGGCTGTCGTGGGACGGCGCGTCGCCCCTCGTCGTCCAAGTGTACAGCTACAACAAACTCCAACCTGACCGCAAGATGGGCGTTGCCGTCGTCGACTGCGACCGACTGCAGCAGCTCGACAAGCCCCTCGACCTGTGGATTCTCACCACCATGCCCCGCGAGTGGCCCCAGAACTTTGGCGATCACATGGTCGCGGCAGGGGAGGGGTATGTACACGTTTTCGTTGCATCACACGACGAGTTTGCCGACCAGGATCTATCTCACTGTGTTATCTCATGAATCTATTTGCTTGGCATAAATCGCTTTCGTGGGGGTGGGCATGCGAGAAGAATGATCCTTCGAAGTATGTGCGATGACGATGTATCGGGCCCTGCATAACGTTAGTGTGTGTATCGTATAGGTCGGACATGTATAGCTATTGGCTTTTGCAAGTTTGTATGTGATGCTACTGTGTATGTGTCGGTAGCTTCTATCCTTGACACGAGGTGTGTGTGTGCATGTCTAATGATAGGTTCACCAAGGGAGTGGTATCTGGAATCACAGGCATCGTGATGGACCCTATTCGAGGCGCCAAGCGGAATGGATGGGGCGGGTTTGCCAAAGGCGTGGGGCTCGGCATGGCGGGCGCGGTGGTCCGCCCCATCCAAGGCCTCGGGGCTATGATAAAGCAGACGGCGCTGGGGGTCCTCGGCAAGAAAGGGCGCGACCGCGTATGGAAGCGGGGCGACAACGAAGTCAATGCAGGAAGCATCCACGTCAAATTAGCGTTACAGACGTTTTAATAAGTCCGTCCATCGCACCAGTTGGTCTACAAATAGTGTTATTTTTAACTGAGTGACGAGGAATCGACACAATCACATACATGTACTGTACTGTACACTAGAATAGGCAGAAGGATTGAGCCAATCAGATTGCACGAAACCATCCTCAACATACGTCAAATTAGTGTGGAACTTGAATTAGTGTGATACAACACACCTTTTCACATACACAATTCAGGACAAAAAGAAGATTCGATCGATAGATTTGGCGATTCAGCAGCACAAAAGTCAACCAAATTTTGGGTCAAATGACAATATATATATATATATATATACATACACAAGTGAATATAGACGCACACGACAAAATATCACTTTCACAACACTACTACTAGTACTACTAGTACTACTCGATGCCCAACAACATCTCTTGTGACGAAACTAAATGATCCAGAGTGTGTTTACAAAGAAGACAGTTGGTAGTCGTCGCGTACCGCAAGCGTCGGGGTAACAACGTCGGAGGAGGTCCAAGTGTTCATGAATCAAGTTTGCAAACGGGTGGCGGTCCGACGTCGTCGCCACGATCGCGTGCATCCCCAATAGCCAATGCAATTCCATCGACTTGGGGCTTTGGTGCTTCAAATGCACGTAAATGCTTACGAGTAGGCTAGGCGATACGCACTGCAAGTCGACAAAGAGCTTGGCTACCCATGTCGAGTCCAAGCTGTCGTTGACAACGAGGCGTGCATAATAGTGCAGCGTTTCGAGGGTTTCCACGAGCTCTTGGACAGGGAACACATAGTCGGCCCCCGAGTGCAGCAGCGTCGCGCCCATCTGGAGCATGTACGATCGGACGTTGGCGACCCAGGTCATGTCTTCAAACGATCCGTCTAATGAAGCAGTCGAAGGGTCTTGGTTAAGGGCCTTATGCTGGGCTTGAAGCCACTGGGACACGGCGGCGGGGGTTGTGGGGGAAGTACAAGGCGGAATAAACCCAAAAATGAGTTGCTTCCACAGGGACGCAATGACCCGAGGCTCCTACAGACAGATAGGTACGTAGGTACATGTTTCCATCACAAAAGTACGTGGTTCAAGAGATTTCAAACTAGGGAGTGTCAAAAAATCGATTCGACATCTGGATCTTAGAGAATAGATTTAAGCCAATCATATCACGTTGTTCTGTGGAATTTCGGCCAATCCAAACGTTCGATTGAGTATACTAAATGTTGTATCGTCTAGTTTGTACAATGTTAAATTTGATGAAACGCTATTTGGTGAAAATAAAGTCCAGAAAAGTCCAAAAATTGGGTGAAAAACGCACAATACAAATATGGGATCGCGTAGATTGGCATTTTAAATAAAGGTATTGTGCTTTCGAGTGAAATTTCCTCGTTGGAATTTAAATCGATTTGATTGGCTACCTCCGATGAGCTCAATATTATTAGCCAATCAAAACCCATTTCTCAATGAAATTCAACAACCAATCCGATCGATTGTGGATCGGTTTGGTCGGCGCGATTCGATTGCACCCCCTCCCCAAAAATTTGTATATCAAATCGACAATATTAACAGTAGATTTTATTCGAAACTGGACCAGCGAGCCGCCATTACTCAGCTTTTGTACCAAGGCACATGTAATGTTAATTGGTGAATAGTATGAAAACAAATATTCTTGTGATATTGTGAATTCGCTATAAACAATTCCAAAATTCGCGTGGTTTGTCTACTTCAATATCGAATCTTGCTTGAGTTTTGATTGGTTGAATATACTTGTCCTTTCGAGCCAATCAAATCCCCTCAAAAATGGATTAGCCAATCGCGTCGATTCGATTCGGCGGCGAGATCAATCGATTCGACAGGGTCTGGAAATTCGTATCGAATATACCACAATACCTCAAACCCAATTCATCACAAATTCAAATAAGTGTCACTAATTACTACACTATAATCCAACCACAAGTCCAAATTGTGGCTGGCCAATCCCATACATTATTGCGCATGTAGGTATAAATAAATTGAAGAAGGGTACAGTACATTGGTCTGACAGGCGTGTAAAATGCGGAGGCACTCGGTGTGCAGGCCATACGGCATCGCATACTCGTTGAACAGCGTCGACATGTTCAAGATTGACGACTGGAGCGCTTCGAGCACCCCCGTAGGTACCTTTTGGTGTCTCAACGTCTCATATACGCGGGTCTATTGGCATAACATCTTTTAGATCCAAACTCCATTGTTGTGCTGCCACGTAGATGAAAGAAAGCACAATAGACCAATCAATGTACTGTCCTACCTACCTGCATATTGAACACGTCCAGAGCATCTTGGACATCGGCAATGTGCTGCGCATTGCCTGTCACTTGCACACACAGGAGCGCTCGCGCCAGAAGGGCGGAACGTTCGCCGATGGTTCGTTTCGACGTCAAGTCGTGCGCTTGAGTCCACAGGTACTCTGCCGCGTCATCCACATCGTGGTGGTGGATGCTCAGCCGCACAAACCTACAATCAATTAGTCAAGTAACGGCATACATTGAGAAACATGCACAAGTGAACAGCTCAAAATCGAGTATGCAAACAATAGATTGTTATATTGCTGTCGTTAGAGTGTTTATATATTCTAAACTGGAGCGAAACATGGAAAGACGAATTGACCGACGCAAATAAATGTAATACAGACGAATCATCAGCAGAAGGATTTTTTAGCCAATCAGATTGCAGGAAACAACCATCATCAACGTCGAATTCATGTGTGACTTGAATTAGTGTGATACACATTATCATAGGACACCTTTGGACATACAACAAAGCATCGATCGATCGATAGATTTGGCAAAGAATCAGCACAAAAGTCTAAATTTGGGGTAAAAGGAAAAATACAATATACAACATTCAGTGCAACCAATCGACCGATAGAGATGGTTGGAGCATCGTCAGGCACAAAATAAAGCCCAAATTTTGGCTCAACCCACAATACCAGTCGGGGTGGTTAGTTCGTAGAAACGCTTTGATGGTTGGTGTCCACGGACAGCTTTGGAGCACCGACAGGTCCGGCAGCCACGCCAGCACGGCGGCCTCCAGCGCCCCGCCGTCGTTCGCTTGACAAGCATACTTGGCCACGGCCTCTTGGGCTTCGGTCGTCGTGGCTAGCGAGAGCAGCAGGTCGTAACAGGACGTGGCGGACGTCGTCGTGGTATACACGCGGGCCACGGCGACGGTGAGCTCGACCATGCCGTAGTAGAAGGATGCGGCGGTGTATTCCTTGAGAATATGGCGGAGCAGTTGCAGCGTAGGCTTGGTGGGCAGCCACTGCGCGCAGTGTTGGCGGAGCTGGGTGAGCGACTCTTGCAGCAGCGCGTCACGGCCGGCTAATGTTGCCGCCGCCTATAGAAAACACAATCCATAGTTGGCAGTTATATAGATAGTATGGTCAAATGAAACTGGAGCAATCCTCAGCAGAATCGAAAATCGACTCAAAAATCGCCAAAGCCAATCAAATCACGTGTTGGTTTCGAATTTCTGCCAATCCAAGCGTTTGATTCGCCCAGTTCCGTCGCATGAATTGGTAAACACAATCACATCTATCCTTATATTTGTATAATATAATTTGTTCATGCTTAAAGTATATCCAATGCTATTTGGCCAAATGACGCACAATAAGTCCAAATTTGGGTGAAATGTACACTAGAAAGAATGTTTCGGCTGTCCAACTGCCATACAATCCAAACAAGAAACACAATGTATAGAAAGACCCATTCAGTATACACACTTTGTATATTGTCAAGTCGATATATATTCGAAATTGGAGTGTTTGGGTGCTCAATCGAATGAGCAGCAGCACCAAATCGACAGACAATCGATATATCGACCAATCAAAACCCATATCGCGAATCAAGTAGCCAATGAAATTATCCACTCTTTGACCAATTCAACACCGAATTCGTGTATGGGCCTGAAATTAGTCTGACACTGGACGATTTTTTCATACAAAAGTCAGTAAAACAAAGAAGATATCGATCGATAGATTTGGCAAAGAATTAGCCCCAAAGTCAACCAAATTTTGGGTAAAAAGACATTATAGCACAACACCAACAACACACACAGATCAGCCCAAGCCACCACACACCCACACACACATCCATTCCTTTCTGAAGACAAAGGAGCATCCAAAACAAGCGATTTGCTTGAAACTGAGGCGACGGACAGTACCTTGGCAGCGGCGATGGTTTGCAGACCTTGGTACGGGGCGGCTTCCCACACGGAAAAGAACGACGCACAGTGCGCCAGCAGTTGCGGGACCACACGCGGCACGTTCTTGGCAAGGTCCTTCAGCTGCGCTTGGAACTTGGCCGCGCCGGCATCCGTGCCCACAACGTCGTGAAAAGGAACACCCTGCAGCGGGGACTCTTGTTTCCATAGCAGTGTTGAGAGCTGGATCCATCCAAAGAGGGCGTCGGCGACCCGGCGGACGAGCGCGTGCAGGTCCCGCACGACCGCGTGGTGGGGCTGCAGGTGCGCCACGTCCGTGTGGAGTGCGACGGCCAGCGGCACCACTTGGTTGACCAACTGGTGGAGCGCTGTGAGCTTGTCCAGGGCGGTTTGGAGGACGGTGGCAGTCGACGACGACGGCAGCAGTTTCGTGACGGGGGTGGCCCACAGAGGCGCCAGGAGATGGGCCACATACTGGGCCAGGCCCTGGACCGTGTCGTTGGCGTCCAGCGCGCACACGGCGTGCGCGGCGGCGGGGTTGTGGGGGAGGCCAAAGAGGAGTGCTGCCACGTAGGGGGCCCCATACCACTCGACGACGGGCGTGACGGACGCCGACCGCCGGAGCAGCATGTCCACGTGGTCAATGAGGCGAGTCTGCGTCCACTTCTGCACGCCGGCCGACGAGACCGCGAGGAATTGTGGCGGCGGCGACGTCAGTTGCGAGCCCAACGACCCCAAGTGTTTTAAAAAGTCGAGCGGCGACGACGGTTTCTGCAACCCGTTGGCCGATCGCTTGACGCCTACCGATGACGAAGACGGCGGCAATGCTGATGGCAGGGGGGCTGGAATCGCTGCCGCCACCACGGCGTGTAGGGTGCCACGGACGGGCAGCGTGGAGGCGGTTTCCACGACCAGAGTGGACGGCGGAGCGGCGGCGTCGGCGACCAGCCCGAGCAATTGGTACGCGCTGGCGTGTCCAAGAAGACATACGCCGCTTGGCTGGGCCACTATGTGGGTAAAGCCACCGGATGAAAACGCAGTTGTTGTCGACAACGACGACGGCGGTGGCGGCAGTACGCGAAGGTACAGGGCTTTCAAGGTGTAATTTGGGCCAAAGCTCAAGGCAAGGCGCTGGCCGGTCGAGGTTAGAGCGACCACGTGCACGCGCTGGGTGGATGCAGGCTCGACGGGTGCAATGGCCACGACCGGCGCCAGCACGACGTGGTTGCCGAGAGCGTGGCGCGCCAGGTCCGTGAGGTTAACCGACGACACCAGCACAATATCGGACCGAATGTCGTACACGCTGAGGACGTTCGAATGCACATACGTCACGTAAAGCAGACGCCGCGCCGTGTCCAACACAAGCGAGGCGACGGCGGCATTCGGCGATGGAAACAGCAAGTCCCGCACGACGTTGGGGAGGTACGTGGCCCACGGAGACGTGGTCGCCGGCTGGATGCGGCGGAATTTCACGGTGTCTGCAGATGGCATGTTGGGGCTGTACGCGTACTCGTACAAGGTGCCATCGACGCCACCGAGCAAGATGCGCCGGGAAGGGGTACATACTAGAGACGTGGCCAGCTGGGTGTTGGCCAGCGGAGCCGTCATGAGCGTGTCGATGACCTTCCATGGCGGTCGAGAGGAGGACGATGTGGGGGCGGCTTTGTCCGTGACCACGGCGAAGAGCCGAACGTCGCGTTCGGTCAAGACTGCCAAGAGGTATTGCACCTGGTCGCTGAAGAGGGTGCCTGGTAATGGAAGCACCAGACCAGCGGACACGATCGGCGACGACACCACCGGGCACGACACGACCCCATCCTTGGACGACACGTAGTCCCACAACACGAGCGTGGTGGTATCGACGACTGCCCACGCGTGCTGGATCTCGGGAAAGAGACCCATTGGAACAACGGTTGACGTTTTCTGAGTAGACTCTACGACGCTGGCTGGCCACGGCGCCATGTCAGTTGACGGAACGAGGTCGGGACCCCAACGCGTGATTGCCGGGTCCACGACATAAGTCGACTCGAGCGACGACGAGTCGACAGCCTGAAATCGCAGCGACACATCCATCTTCTTCTCGCGTTCCCGCATTAGATCAGCTGTCTTCCCGAGCTCCTTAAGGGCTCGTTGAATGCTGGCGGCATCCTTCTCCTGTGCATCAGGCCTCGTCATGTTCACTCCACTCAAAGCAGGTGGATGGATTGAATTCGGCCGTGTTGATTGGTCAGTTCAAAACAAAATAATACTATTAATTTATTTCGAAATTTGACGTGTCCAAGAAATATATTATCATGGTTAACAGTAAGATAGTGGTAACGTTACTATTATTTGTACAATTAATAGTGCTACGTAGTAATACGTACTACGAGGTGCTCCAGTATTAATATTTAATATGTTAGTACTAGTATTTCTACCGACGGTTTCACCTTTTCACCGTAAATAGACAGGCTACAGCTCCAAATATCGCGTGAGTAGGTCGTGGAGATGGCACTGTGGCACATGCATATTGTTGCAGCCGCCGCACATCACACAAACAGAAGCTCCGAGGACCTGTAACAGAGCCATGACATCGTTTGCCCAGGGTTTATGGGTGCATTCGACGCTGATGTCGCCTTGTCTGTCATGATGTTGCAACGAACTGTGCGGACTCCATTGCTGCCGCAGTATGTTGACCACGTAGTCGTGGTGGGTGGTGTTAAATAAGCAACCGAGCTCGAATTGATGGGGCCACGCCACGTCATAACTGGACACGATGTGGATCTGACAAAGCCCCCATGGCAGAGCTGCTTGAACTCGGCCAAATGCAAAGCAAGATTTCGCTGCGTTCAAGTCTGGCCTCAGCGGATCTTGAACGACTAGTCCTCCTTCGGTCCATTTTGTGGATTTGTCCCAAGTATCGGGCTACAACGTGAAGTCCATCCCGGTCAGCTCCTCACAACCAATTCTGTCACGTTCTACCTCGTGTTTCGTACAAACGATCTGTGGGGGTCCAAGGCGCTGCCAAACACATGCATAAAACGCATCAGAAGGTCGCCGAGGTGAGACTCATGGTGTTCGCCGTCGTGCCGGTGACTATGGTAGTCATCTTGCAGCAAACTTGCCACCATGAGCGTGAGGCGGTAGGACGTTAACCCATCCGAGAAGCCTACAAGAAAAGCATATTATAATGCCTATTTCTTCTCATTCACTTACCATTGTGGAGGTGATGATGGTGTAAAAACTGCTTTACGACGAGCACGAGGGGGGTGAGCTCTGGGAACGAGTGCACCAGCTTCTGCACGTACACACTGGTCTCGATGCCCCTCCAGTTGGTCGGCTGGCGCAGGTGCTGCAAGGCATGATGTGGGTAAATTTGCTTCACGTCGTGGAGAATACTGCCATTCCCCTGTTGAAAGTGACGACAGGAGCGGTCCCCAACCACTCCTCTGAGACGAAACGCTCCGACGATGACGCCGGCGCGATCCACGTCGACATTTCAACGCTGCCAATCACAGACCCCTGGCCGGCCATCCCCATGAAGTTTGGAGAAGGCTACGCCATCGATCACTACGTCTACGTCGGACTGTGGACCTTCCAACCCTGTCGCAAACGACCCAAACACGAGAACGAGTGCATGGGGCCAAACTTGTTGCACGCACGCCTATGAAATACTGTCGATTACTCAGTCCTTCAACAACGTGTATCGTTCAGGTGAGACATCACACACTTTTGCCACGGCTGTTTGTGGTGTGGATGTGCACATTTCAGTGCCCATTGGCTTCTTATCTCTTCGTTTCTTCTTCTTTCCCGTCGCCCCTGATTGCCTATCGTCGGCGGATATAGCGGCCGCTTGAATCGTATCGATAGTCACGTCGACCGAGATAGCAACGACTACAGATATCTGCACCAACGCCTTACCGAGCTCCCGTCCCACCCAGTCCACCGCGGTGCCACATGAAAGGAGCGTCGACGTAAACAGATTATCTGCCACGTACGCAGCATCATGCACGGCAATGTCGTTTTCGGGCAAAGTCGCGAGCAAGTGACGGACCGCCACCCGAATAGTCGATGCAGTGTCCGACACGAACCGACGACTTAGCACACGCTGCACACATGTGACAGAGTCCCGATGAAGCAGCTTGTGGTGGTCTTTGACGGGCGTGGAAGTCCACAGCTGGGCCAAGTGATGGCGACATGCGGCCAGGGGGAAGATTCCCCTATGGAGGTTCTGGTGGCGGCGGCTGTTTTGAAATTCGTCCACAAGGTGCTCGATCACTCGAAGGGCCACGAACGCAGCCAACGTAAACGTTTGCACAGTTTCGGGAGGCAACGCCCCCTTCGAGGATAACGTTATGATCGAAGAGGTCGCGTTTATCGAGTTGATATTGCCAGGGTGTCGTTGGCTGCTGTGTGCATAAACATCTATATGCTACAGGATACTTTAACCTCGGTAGCCAAACGTACTCGTCGTAGTGGAGTTGCAGATGTGGCAAAGGCTCCACCTGGAAGGATTGGTGTAGTACCTACATGTTATCGAATGAGTTGACTTTTTGGAAAATCGTCGCAACTGTAGCCGGTTGAAAGTGTAGCCACGCATGCGATCGCCGGTAGACGGCTACACTATGTTCCGTACCAGTTCCAATCGACGTCGGAACACTTATTCGGCACGTTGCCACTGGGTTTGATCCACACTGCATCAGCATACTCGTTCATATCGCACAATCGAACGGCTGCTACGAGCTCTCGACAGCTGACCATTACGTTGGAGTTAACCGCCCGACTAATCGCGATACCCCTAGGTTTGATCAACTCCTGCTGTCCACACGTTTACCTTGAGTGGCTAGCATCGTTCTCAACAACATCGGTCCACAGCTGAAAGGAAATTCGATCTCGCAAGCCTTCGCCTCCGTCATTGTGTGAGCTGCGGTTCCAAGTGAAGTTAACATCATCACGTGATAAAATATCAAGGTCTAACTTGAGCCGCCAGCGGAAGTGTCTTGGTGGCAACTAGTTGGTATGCTGGATAATACAACAAACTCGAAATATGTGCATTAATGCGCATATATATTGCATAATAATGTATTTCAGTCTTTTGCAGCGATTATGCATTATGTATGCACTGTGCAGCTAACAGTAAAACATACATATAATATGCGTATTTTCGACCCCTGCTGGCAACAACATGTCAGAAGCGTAGCTTTAAGCAGGTGCAAGCAAGCGTACATGTTCGAGCTCGTCATAACCGAGGCCGTCAAACCGGGACCACATGTGGCTCAATGTGTCCTTGGGATGTCAACCTGCGCACCCTTTCGTTGATGTCGACCATGTAACTTTCACTACCTTCTTTTACGGACATTGCCACTCCGACAAGCAATGTATTCGTGTATTATTCCTGGACATTCTCCACATGTTCTGTCATTAAAGCAAGGTTATCGAATGTCGAAACTTCGACCGAAATGATATCCTTTCCATGTTATGCATTTTTATCGACGGCGGTCCCTCGATCGACTTCGACTACTGCGCCGAGACGAGCTTGGTTTGGACGACGCCTTGTCAAATCTATCCCGGCTGCGGCTAACACGCCGTTCTGGACTGCGACCGCGGCGGTCCGGGCTACGGCGCCGGGTCTCTGGACTTCGCCGCCGGCTTGGCTCGGGACTGCGGCGTCGGATTGGCTCCGGACTGCGGCGCCGGCTAGCTTCAGGACTACGGTGACGAGTACTAGGCCGATCTGGGCTTCGACGAGACGAGGTGGGGGGCTTTCTCGCAAAATCTTCGTCGTCGCCGCCGACTGAGTGGCTGATTGGTTCGTTGGTGTACATGGCACTGTAACTGGCCTTCAATCGCGCCAGAGCCGCAGCTTCGCGATCAGCTTGACTTACGGGAGCTTTCTGTCGTCGCTGGCCAAAGTCATCGTAGCCATCTTCAGCGACTTCACGGCGACCGGACGCCACCCGTTCTTGCCGTTCGTTGAACCCGCCACCCGCGCCATCACGTTTCTCGTCGGGTCCTAAGGACGCTTTGGGGGCTTTGCATATGTTGCACTCATTGCGGCGTTCCCAGTTCATGTTGCCACACTTGCCACAAGCCCAGTCAGAGGGACCGAATAAGCCCGTCTTCTTCTCCCCGCCAAATTGACGGTCGCCGAATGGCTTTTTCGGAGCATCTACACGCGGAGTGAAGCACCGATTGCACTCCATGCGACGGGCAAAGTTGATGTTCCCGCATCCTTCCTTTGGGCACACCCAATCGCCATCAGTGCCCAGTCGCGGCGGCGGACCTCCCCCCATCATGTTGTCTCCACACACAATATACGAAAACTCACATCCGGAAATATATATCCGAGTCCGGATAAACGTTGAAGCGGTAGGTATTTTTTCAAAAGTCCTCATGCCGAAGCGTCGCCACCCGTCCAAAGTATGCGCGGCGGCAACCATCAACGAAGAAGACGTGGCCAAGAGGAACGACGTATGGCACAGCGATGTTGTGGGGTATGAGCTCCGGTCCTCGGGGTTTCTTGTGGTAACCGTTCAGCGGTGCATTCCGCCGGACTTGGTGATGTCGAACGTGTTCATTTACTTTCGAGGCGGTGGACCAGGAGGGGTATGGTGGGTCAGTCATGCTAACACAACAGGGTGTGTGCTAACATGCACTTCCAAGTCCAAACTGCCTCACAGTGAGTGGGACGTGACACCGCCGCTTGTCGACGGTGAGAACATCGTCCTCCGGCAACGAACAAAGCTACCCAAAGGCGACCCGCCATCGTCCTTCACCGCCGACTCCTCCGTGCCCCCAGCCACTATCTCCTGTGCAATTCTGCCGCCGCTGGTGTCGTACTGTCGTACCACAGTGTTCAACGTGTTTGAGATCAACACGGTGCTGCAAACGTTTCGCGCAGATGCCTTCTTTGAGCTGCGGTTCCGCACCATCGCTGCGTCCGACGTGCCCCAAGCCAGCGTCGTGGACCTCCTAGACAGTCTGTACATCAACACTTCCGTGGTCGAATGTTTGAACACGGCGTCCGTAGAAGGAGACGTGCAGTCGTGGTCGTCGTACACTCCGTCCACGCACCACAAAGGCACACTCATGGACTACTTTTTATTGAAACTTCGGTTCAAGGGGTGCTTTTCGGAAATGCTCGAGCTGTGGCCGTTTCCTTTCGACACACAAGGCCTGACCATGTCCTTGACGATCAACCGCCCAACGTCTTACGTCGTGTTTCGCAGCAACGACGACTTTCCCAGCGTGTTCTTGGTGAATCGGTTTGCCATCTCCAATCTGTTCCACGTCGTCACCGCAGAGCACGTGCTGCCTCGAGTGGGGGTGAGCGACCCCGCCGAGTCGTCACAGGGGTACCGGTACAGCTGCATCGATTTCACCGTCATACTCCAACGCAAGCCAGGGTACTACGTGTCAAATGTGATGGTGCCAATCACGATTCTCACGTACTTGGGGTTTCTCTCGTTTGGAATTGAGAGTTTTCGGACGCGAATGGCCACGTCGAATCGCATTTCCATCTCCGTGACGCTACTGCTCACGGCCGTGGCCTACAAGTTTGCGATTGCCGGCGCGCTGCCGCAGATCTCGTACCTGACGTCGCTGGATTGGTACGTCACCATGTCATCCGTGGTAATGGTGGTCGTGACAGTCGAAAACGCCGTGTTCCCGTGGCTGTGCGTCACCACAGCAGACGACGATGTATGTTTTGACACGGAGCAAACCGTAATGTGGACGATGTTTGTCTTGTTTACGGGCGGGGTGGTCGGCAGTGTCGTCGTCATGTGGTGGGCTAGTGTGCGTCGACGGAACGTCAACGATACCCTCGTGGCCCAACGCCAATTGCGGCTGTTGGCAGCCAAAGACTACCCGACGGCATGCTACAAGTCGCGTCGAGCGATGGTGGACCACGTGTTAGCGAAAATGAACTTACCCCGGCTGGAGTGGGTGCACCAAAAGACCAACCACGACACCAGTGGGCCCTATGTCGGCCACGTGAGCACCGAAACAGCCAAGGCTCACTTGGCTGCGTTCGTTGCAGCCGAGCACCGAAACATATGTGAATAATAGTATTCCACCTTGTGCGCTACGTTGGCTATAGAGGGAGGGTTCTATACTTATGTTAATAACTGGGGGACGTTTGGATGTACTAGTAGTACCATCACATTACGATTTGTGCAGGCAGCTCGGCCGTGCTGGTTGAAATCCTTCAAAACAATGTGTGGTTGTGGTAAGTTGTACATATTGCAATGCCACTGCTTCCTGTGGACTAGACGTAATTCCCCTCTCAAGTAGAGATGTTGTTCGTTTTTGAGCTTTAGATTCCTAAATTGTTGTGGCTAACGTTAGACTGTCACAATCATGGCTGCTGTTGGACACATGGGCAACGACAGAGGGGTGACGCGTAAACAAGGCCAACCCACGAGCTTGGACTGGAATTCGATAGCATGAGCGATGGAGATCGAGGGTCGATGTGTGTACCAACACCAACTTGGGCAACTCAACTGCTTAGTCAGATGTCCCTTTCGCCCTCTCCAAGTCATCTCTCGAAGTTCAAGTTGAACCACGTTAAAGTCATTGCGTAATATTAAGGCTTACTGTAGTAGTAGTACATGGATGAGGAAAAACGAATTGTTTTATTATTACATATGATAAAGTATGCAATCCTCCTTATTTATTGATTTTCGAAGCGTAATCTTGTTTGTTCGTTCGAGCGAAGTCGGCATTCTGTTTTTGATCGATCCAGGTTAAACGTTTTATAGGTCTTATACGTGCTCGGAATATAATATGGTCGACCTCCACATACAAACGCCCATATATTTGGTGGAAGAATAACCAGTGGAATAATATTACGTGACACTGCTGTGACCACTGGCGACGGCAGAAAGCACAGCAACACCATCCTACCACTTACTTGCGCATCCATGAACACCGCTGTGTATGACGTGTCCACGCTGCAACTTGGCGATCAGGTGTGTATCTGGGACTTTGGACGATGGCCAATCTCGTACTCCCATCACGGAATCGTCTATGAGCGCGGCACGTCGTTGCAGACGGTCAAGGTAGCGCACACGTGGAGTCCGCTCTCCAACTTTGCCGAGGCGCAGGCGGACTCGTACTTTCGGCTGACGACGCTAGAGCAGTTCTTAGACGGCCGGCAGTTCAAGCACTTGCGTCGCGTGCAATACAACTCGTCTATCCTGGGCGACGCGATCTCGAAGCTCGGCGAAGTCCACCGGTCGGCGTCCGACATCCCGCCCGTGGTGATCGCGCGATGCAAGTTTCTGCTTGGCGCAGGTCGTGGCCACTTTAACATCTTGTCCCTCAACTGCGAGCATGTTGCGTACTGGTGCAAGACGGGTCGTTTGTTTGCCAAGCAGATCTTCACCACGAGTCCAACTGAGGTGCCGTACATTCGGCAGCGGTCGCTCTCGTGTAAAGTGGACGCGCTATTTGCGACAATGCACGAGTTGAAGGAACGTTATCGCATTGAGTGCATGGCGCTATGCAGTCGACTCAACGACATTGACGAAGGCGGCAGTCGCAAGCGCATTTACATCAAAGCCAAGGACCGATCGAACCGGTACCTTCAAGTACGCGGCGAGCACGTGTACCTGGTTGAGTGCGATTTCGAAGAAACCAACCCGTTGCTACAGCAATTTCCCACGCCTTTCTACGCGTTTGCCGAACACACCGACGTGAACGTGGTCAAGGTGTCGTTTCGCGAAGTGGCCACTGGCCGCATGGTACAGTATTCTATTTTGTATGGCGAGTTTTACACCAAGATATATATATCTATTGTGCTTTCGAGTGAAATTTCGTGTTGTGGGGTGGTTTGTCGTTGGAATTTAAATCGATTTGATTGGCTACTTCAGATGAGCTCAAAATTTCTAGCCAATCAAAACCCATTTCTCAATGAAATTCAACCAATCAGATCGATTGTGGATCGGGTTGGTTGGCGCGATTATTCGATTGCACCCCCTCCCCAAATTTGTATCAAATCGACAATATATATATATATATATATTTCTCACCCGCACGACATGTTGTACATAGGTGTGTTCGAAAGCGAAATGCGTCAAGCTGATCACCCAACGCTTGTACCATCGAGAAAACCTGTTTCGGTTCGAATATGCATATAATGGCGAGCTCCAGTCGCGGCGGCTCCGGCGGTGGTACATTGGCGCGCGACCCAAGGATGGCCTGGTGCGGACGTTAGTCTCGAGCGACGACGCGATGGCGTTTGAATTTGTCGACGCCAAGATGCTTGCTGCGTCGCCAGCCAGTGAGCCCCCTGTGGCACCGAGTTGTTCCGACGCTACCAACGACACGGACATTAGCAGTAGCTAGTACATATTTAACAGTCGGACGTACATGCCGTCGTCGGTGGTTCGTGGAGGCAACATAGAACAACAAGTCATTCTATGTAACTACAGGTCTATCTATACATCCATCGACATGTAACGTTAGATTACACTGGAACGTGAGTAGACTTGGCGGAAGCCGAGATATGCGCCAACGCAAAAGAACAAGTAGCCGATGGACTTGGTGAAAATCGAGTTTACTGGTCGATCGATGTATATATATATATATATACAGTATTAACATTATGTAAGGAGTGTGTTGTTGGGATGATGTCAAACGTGATGGACATTTGAAGTTGGTGCCCTTGCGTGCGTGCACATCGTCCCAGCATTCGAGAATGTCATTGAGACTGTAGTATACTGCGTAGTACTTCAAGTATTTGTTACTTTGTAATCCATTGCGTCATACAAATTTGGAGTATAATCAACATATTCACAAGTAAATATCAGTTATTACAAGAAAATTATCAGTTATTACAGGAGTCGCAATAGATTAATCCGTCGCAATACATATACACTATACGGTACATAGTTTTGGAAGTGCTTTACTATCCCATATACTGACTACCAGTATTCATACCAGTAGGATCCAACAAGGAGCTGCCGTTTCGGCGGCGCTGACGCAGTTGAAGAAGAAAGTAGCGCGGCCCTGTACGTGCGTTGGTCATGTCACATTATGTCCGACAGTAGCGACGGACAGGGATAAATGGTTATATTCGCGAGGTCTTTGTCGCAGAAACTGTCTCCTCTTGTGGAAAGTGGCTACAGGAGGACTCAAAGCAGAGAGATGGTGGTAGCATGTGTGGACAATTCACGCAGAATTCAAAGCAACCTGACTTACGGCACAGCCCAAGCCTCATATACCCGGTATTTAGCTTAGCTGAGGCAATGTGGGTATTCTGTCGGGCAGGTACGTAGTAGGACTTGCACATGAAACGCATGCAACCCAATCTAAAATCCAACTTGTCCATTCTTGCCAAAGCTTAGCTTTGTCGTCATGGTCCTCTTGGCTGAGCCTTCGGGAGTCTTCAGCCCACTGCCATCACCATACTCTGCCGTTGCCACCGTACAGATGACCCTCCTGTCGCCAGACACCAACATGCTTGTCGTGTAGGAATGCCGACTGGGAGTCCCAACTGCCCACCGCGCCGCCGTCTACTTGTACCTGTGCTGCGAAAGCGACGTCAAGCCAACGTTTATCGAGGCATCGTATACAGCTGCAATGTCGCAAGTGTTCAAGTCTGGGGTCCCCACGACCTTGACTCGCGTACGTACTTGCTACTGTACTGTAGCCATGTCCCTGTTGTCATCTCATCAGAGGTCGTCGTGTAGCACGCGTCGTATTTCGGTGGGCTCGTGCACTTGGCCCCGTACGACCTGACGCCAATCCAAGTGCAAGGGTTCCATCACGTGTGCATCTTGTTTCAGCATCTTGGCGGCGTCAGCTACTGTACCACCTGCACACCATATACCCATCAACCAGAACTCCTACTGTACGTACTGTAGGCCCGTACCTCGTGCACTTGATTCCGCTGCTTCTTTCCCAAACCTCGGAAGCTGCGACGTTCGTAGCAGTCTCGGTAGGCACGGGACCCGTACACTACTATTGATGTAGCGAATAACATTCCTTGTTAGAACCTGCTCAAGCCACACCAACAGCCAGGCCCTCATCACGCCTATCGTAAGCTCCCCACCAGCGTCATCGCGGACACCACCCTCGCTCGCTTTTTCAAGGTATGACCTGCCCCCATCACCGACGCCTTCTTCATCCCCGTTGGCCGCAGGAAATTTTGCAATGGCGGTACACCGAGGTGGCCACCGCGTTGACGACGTGCCAAGGCGACGACGACAGCTACTTTATCCACCTGTTTCATCGGTTCTTTGTGGGCTTCTTTCCCATGCCTGTACGTTCCAGTGGTTTAGGCACCCTTGTAATCCATTACACAAGGCTAACCAGTCAACTCATTAGGTTGTGTACCGCGTCCTCGACAGCTATTTAGCCGATGGCCCCAAGGTACTACTCGAGTACAGTCATGACACGTTGTCACATCATGTATTCGTACTTGTCCAGGTGCTATGTCGAGTGCTCTTGGCCGTGTTTAAGCTCACTAGGCATGAAATGGTCAAGTGCACGGCCACTGGCGAGTAAGATTCGATCAAAACATGGGCTCTGTTGCCAATATATATATATATATATATATATACGTTTAACATACGGTACAGTATATATATATCTGTCAAATCCTTTGACTGTCCAAGCGATGATACACTTTGATTCAAAAATATGTTCATGTTTTTTGCTACATATGAGCTTTCGTGCTATTATACTACATTGCTGAAACATCGCTGCCTGGTGTCGTTGTATAGGGCATGGTGGGCACAACTACAAGCAGTTGTAAACGGCCCATCCTTTGACTTTGATGCAATGTTTACGGCGGCGTTTCGAAGTTGGTACGGGTACTTGTTTAAGAAAGCCAACCTCCAAACCATGCACAAGGCGTTGGAAAAGCGGAAGTCGGTTCGGCTGCAGTCGGCCAAACACCAACACGCTCACGTCCACCACCACCTCCCCCTGCTCATTTCCCCCAAGTCGTCGGGGGGGCGATTGCTAGACCCCCATCGGGACGCGGCTGTGACGTCGTGGCTGCCGCTCGGGCTACAGATGAAGCACTTTCGTCTGTTGTACAATGCTGAAGTCCACGGCCGGGGCCTCGACCGACTCTACAGCCACTGCGAACGGGGGGCGGCGTCCCCCGAGATGCTTCTGCTCGTGGAGGAGCTCACCACCGGCAGTGTCGTGGGCGTGTTCGTGTCGCATCAACTCGGAGTCCACCAGTCGTTCTTTGGAGACCACCGGTGCTTTCCGTTCGCCCTGGTGCCGACCCCCCATGCATTCAAGCAGCTGGTCACGTCCCCCGCGCATCACCATGCCAAGCCTGTGTTGCTCAAGTACATGCTGTGCCTCCCCACGATGATGGCGTTTGGCGTGAGCAGCACGTCAAGCGCGGCGGCGCTGGAGCTAGACGAAGACCTCATGCGCGGAAAGAGCGACGAAAGCGATTTATTTCAGAGCCCCCCGCTGGTCGGCGGCGGCGTCGTCGAGTTTGACGTTGGCGGCGTCGAAGTGTACGACTTTACCTTGGAATAGAGAGAGTCGGACCAGAATTGTGTTGGCAGAAGGAACCGTACGTAGGATGTAGCACCCGCCACTTCGTCTCGACAGTCATTTGAATAACGTAGTAGTAGTTCTGAGGAATGCAATGTCTACATCATGGTGTAAGCCACTACGCCACTATTCCGAGTGCTTACTTCTACTAACGTTAACGTTAACGAGAGTAGAAAAGCGTTTGTGTAATAACCAGTCGGTGGGCGGAGTGTAGTTAGTAGCACGGTGTACTACTGTACATACTATATTCATAACAGCACCACATCAATTCGTCCGATTGTGGACTTCTATGATTCGTTGGACAAATGTTGCCACACCGTCCGAGCTAACTAACGGACCACTCGCTGCATTGTTCCAAAGTCGTCCCTTGCTTTGTCCAACATCAAAACTTCCGTGTATATAGATAGTAGTACTAGATCTTCGAAGTTCTTGAATTCATCGTTCGTTGCTGGGTTATGCAGTTGTTTACATCATAAATAATGGGGACGGTCGTTAGGGGTCACACCGTGAGGGGCCACACACGAAGAAGATGCTGTGTGGTTGTCGTCGGGGGATTGGACGTATGGCTCGATGGGTGTTGGGGGGGCTTGCGTGATGGGCGGAGGGGGGCATCAAATACGCCGGCTGCCCCGCGTGGCAACGATACAAGAACCGACGGCGGAGGAACGACGTGGGGAGAAGAGTGGGCTAGTCGTGGGGAAGGCGGTTGCCATCGATCTACAGTCACCACACTCGAGCTCAAAAAGTGTCCTAACCCCACGAACGACGATATATGTGAACATAAGAGGACCTTGCACTGTTTGGCGGCGTTGTTGCGGTGGTGACACCTTGGACATTTGATCCCGAGGGGACGTCAACGATACCGCGACGGGTGTCAGAGGCGCTGGCTTGGAAGCCGGTGGCTTTGACGCTTGGACGACCACAACGATCCGTGGGGGCAGGCCATTGTCGCCTTGTTGGGGGGACAGACGGCGGGGGGTAGTACTTTGCTTTTTCTCACGCATGCGCCGGTGCCCCGCGCTGCAGTCGCCGCTTCGATGCACTTGGGGCTGGGACCAATCCAAGGTAATGCGGTCCAACTGGTCCAAGTGGCCACCACTGTCGAACTCGTCGATTTCGTTTTCCCACCTGGACAAGGCTTCGCCGTCGCGACGGAAGGGGCGATGCGGCATCAGTTTGGTGGAATTGCAAAGCACGAGGTAGACGGGGATAGACTGGACAACGTGGATCTATTTTTGTACGCGCGACCACCCCCTGGTGGGATCCATACAAATAATTAATATATCGGTGCATGCCTGTCTTTTGTGTCGGAGTTGGTGGTCTCAGAAATTGAAATTCATCGGTTCAATGAATTACTACGTAGTAATTGGCTACTTGATTCTATCGATATGATTGGTGGACACAAACTATCGATTATTTTTGACCAATCCAATTGCGACAAAAGTGCTCATCATCACATAACGAGAAGATAGATATCTTCGCATTATATTAATCGGCGATGGGGCTCGAGCTACGGAGTACACCTACGACATGAGAACGTCTGCTCAGCTTATAACAAAACTCACCTCGCTTATGATTGTACAGCTACACGTGGCGGCGGCGGCCACCCCTCGCATGGGACATTGCATCTTCACTTTTCACCGCAGGGGAGTTGTTTGCGATGGTACTACTTATGAGCGTCCACTTTGGAGGCCACACCACGCGTGTACCTGCAAGGTTGTTCTCTCAACTCGCCGCGACCGTGTCCACCACCATCGATGGCGGCAAAGGCACACCCTGCAGCCCCTGGGCCCTTCTCATTCCAGCCTTTCTCGTGGTCAAAATAGGATTATAAATCGTGTTGTGGTTATTAAATTATACGACTTACCTTGCGAATTGTATTTGGTTTTGAGCGGATGAAAAAAAAACATTTTCGATTGATTTGGGAGAGGCAGTTGACGTCATTTAATTCGATTGTGTGCTGCAAAACAACATGGCCGCCGCCGCTGCAACGCACACGGAATGGCCGACGTCCGCCGAGGACTACCAGATCATCGAGAAAGTTGGTCAGGTACGTCACGACCCCTATTGAGGAAGGATGATGGAGTGACATGGGGTCCCCCAAGTATTGATCGGGTGATGTGTCGTCATCGAGTAGGGCGCATTCGCCAAGGTGATGAAGGCGTACTGTCGACCAAAGGACACGTATGTCGCGATCAAGATCATGGACCTCGAGAAGATTACGACCAGCTTTGAAGACATCCGGGTACGTGCGCAGTCGTGATGCCGCCGTCTTCCCCCGAAGTCTTGTGGATGAGAGAGATTCAACATGATACATACCCGCGGTGCCTTGACCCTCTCTCTCTCGCAGGCGGAGGTCCAAACAATGAAGATGACCAACCATCCCAACGTGCTCAAGTGCTACTGCAGGTGAGATCCATGCCGTTCCCTATTGTTGGACGTTGCAGAGAGGGGGAGGAGGTCACCGTACGACTGATGCCGTGTGTCTGTCCATTCGTAGCTTCGTGTACAAGGACCAACTGTGGCTGGTCATGCAACTCATGAACAAAGGATCGTGCTTGCATGCGATGAACATCTTAAAGAAGAAGGGGTTTGGCGAAGGCATGAAGGAGGAGCTGTGCGCGGTGATCTTGCGGGAAACGCTGCAGGGGCTGCAATACTTCCACGAAAACGGCCAGATCCATCGCGACATCAAAGCTGGCAACATCCTCCTCGACGGCGACGGGAACGTCTTGATCGCCGACTTTGGCGTGTCGGGGTGGATGATGGAAGGGGGCGATCGCCGCAAGAACCGCCAGGTACGCCCGCGCCAACGGACGATCTTGTCTCTGTCTGTTGGTGCTACGAATACATGCAGAATACACATCCTCAGTGTCCACATATTGATTGACCTACATGGTTGAATCATGTATTGTGAATTCGCTATAAACTTGCAACATTCGTGTGGTTTGTCATATCAATATATTGATTCACGCTGGAGTTGTTCGGATTGGTTGAATATACTTGTCCTTTCGAGCCAATCAAATATATCCACGCAAAATCGGAGTAGCCAATAGCGTCGATTCGATATATATTCGACGGGGTCTGGAAATGTGAATCCACAATATGTACATGTAGACTTTTGTGGGCACGCCATGCTGGATGGCGCCGGAAGTGATGGAGCAAGTCCGAGGGTACGACTACAAGGCGGACATTTGGTCGTTTGGGATCACGGCGCTGGAACTCGCCAAGGGGTACGCTCCGTATGCGCGGTACCAACCCATGAAGGTAGTACATAAACATATATTGTCCTTTTGTACCCCATATTTGGACTTTTGTGATGCTGATTTGCCAAATCTATCGATCGATTCTTTGTGTGGACACGTTGTTTGGATGCCCACTAACTACTACACACTAATTAAAGTCACACACTAATCGATGTTTCATATTGGTCAAAGAGTGGTTTTGATTGGGTACTTGATTCGTGGGTTGGGTTTTGATTGGTCGATATATCGATGATGTGCCGATTTGGTTCTTGTGCTCATTCCAATTCTTTCGAATCGACTATTGGCCATAGTAGTTAGTAAACACGGTACTACGATGGGAGTTGCTGGTACCCTTGTGTGGCGGCTGCATAATGATGAGAGGGCGAGTGACGACGCACGACGGGGGGTTGTAGGTGCTGCTGCTGACGTTGCAAGAAGACCCGCCGAGCCTGCGGTCGTACGACGACGACGGGTCGGGCCACCAGTTTTCCCGCCATTTCAAGGACATGGTGCGATTGTGTCTGCAGAAAGACCCAGCCAAACGGTACGCTACCCCCCCCTCCCCCCCCCTTCCAAATTCGATATTGTCGTTTTACCCAAACTTTGGACTTTTATGATTCGCCAAATCTATGGATCGATTTTCGCTGGACGGAATTTTGTGTGGTGTCACACTAATTGAAGTCACACACTAATTCGACATCCTCATTGGTTCAATCAGTTTGCCGATTCTTGTGGAACACATATATATTTGGTTGTATTCCGCTTGCGTCGATGTGCATCACTTTGTGTGTCCGTCCCCCATTCATTGCCTCAATCATAGTCCATGGACGACCTTCCTTGCTTATATGTGGATATCACGACGATGGGATACTGTATCTATCATAGACCCACGACGTCGACGCTGCTCAAACATAACTTCTTCAAGAAGGCCGAAACCGCCGCGTACTTGGCGGCGGAGCTCACGACCAAGATCGACGACATTGGCGAAACCTCAATCAACACCCAACCGATGCTCCCCGGCATGGGCCCGCTGTACGCGACCAAGGAGCCGACGACCGCCGAGCCCAAGGTGTACGTCCCCGGAACCACGTGGGTGTTTGAGGACACACCCGCGGCGGACGCGACGCCACAGACGGCCGCCGCCGCCGCTGACGAAATCGACGACTTTGAACGACAGTTTTTGGCGGCCAGTGGAGGTGAATCCGTGCGCAAGCCCCAGCAATAACCAGATCGGATGTACTAGTCGACGAGTATGCAATGGTAGTAATACAAGGGTGATCGGGGAACACATACAAGTTGTTGAATCTCGTGATTGACAACCTTAAGACGTTCAATATGACCATCTCTTACGAAATGTCCTACTACTTAGAGTTACTGGATTGCTTCACGGCTACTACATAGTATGCATGCAATCTAGACAAGTTGTGTGTTTGAAGGTTGTCGCGGCAATTGCATGTCGAGGGTAGCCACGTTTAATATGGTGTGGCCAATCTCGACGGGCAAAAGGGAGGCGGAGGGTCCATAGGATGAAGGACGCCCCCATAGCCACACCCCTCGCGTGCCGCTTTGGTATAGGGCTTACTTGACACTGCAAATCCACAGTGATTTGGACAAAAGCAGCAACGCCGCAAGCACGGGGAGCAACTAGAACCTACGTCATACTGCTGCATACATGCTGCACTCGAACAACGGTCGATGGACATGCACTGCAGTTACTGTAGTTAGTACGAACGGATCAAAATGCAAACTGCAGTTTCGAATGGCGGCGTGAAAAACAACTTCGCTGTGGACCAATCAATTGAGGTGTGATTTTGATTCATCTATACCGATTCATCTAAGTACTGTAACAATTCATTTATATACTCCCTTAGGTACTTACCGGTACTATTAATACTCCAATTATTTATATGGATTTCAAATATATCCAAACGTCATCCACCATTAATTTAGGTCAAATCCTAATTAGTAGAGATGTGAGTAAATTAGGATAATGCTAGGTCATTGCATACAGGGAGCGGAACGGACCTGCCACTGCCCGACAAGAAGAAAAGATAGATCATTCGGTCAAGCGAGAAGCTTAGATCCGCGCTCTCGTACGGCCGCGCTTGCGCAGACGGCCTCCCGGGCGCTCGGGGCCAACGTAAGGCTTGATCACTACTTTAGGTTTCATCCCACAACTTCATCCAATTTCATCCCATGTCATCCCAATGTCATCCACGCTTTTAATTCAACAATTATATTATATTAACCGTAGTATCCAAGGTTGGTATTAATATTCAATGCTGTCCCGTAAGTCTTACGTATTACTATTAATAGTATTAATAGTATTTATGTTTTGAGGTTACTATTACCGGAAATATCAATACACATTCGCACGTCGACCGTTATGAACAAAGACACCAAATCGTACGTACAGTGGGGCAAATTCATTGATTCAAGTTCAGGGGGGATGATGATAAAGGATTCCTATGGTTCTAGCAATAAGTTGATACATTTCTAGACAGCGTCTTGTCGGTGGTGGTGGGGAGGTTGATTTGCCGCTGGTTGGCTGGCGCTGGTCTTCTGGCCACAGGCGCGTTTGCATCCGTCCACAGCCAACATGGCGCTAGCATTGGAGGCTACTCGGACGGCGCGGGACACTGGCGGCATGACCATAGCTACCACGGCCACCACGAGCAACGCAAACGACGCGACGAACGCCAGCAACGCAACGGGAACTTTGACCAGCACGTAATAGCCCACCCGCCCGATAAGTCCTGATCGATCCGACAGTCGCTTCAGCGGGGTGTGCGGTTCTTCGGGGGGACTTAAAGAGTTGGCAAGGTACAAATCCACATCTGCGATGCTGTCCGACAGGTGCAACAGGGGACCCCCGACCCATGCAAATGGCAGCACGAGCACATGGAGCACCAGGAACACCACGCCCAGCGGGATGCTCAGCAAGCTGTACATGCACGGCCCCGCCACAAAGCGCTCCTTCCACGACAACAGTGCCGAGCCGTCCGGGGTCGTCGGCGTCGCCGTCGGTGGCTTGTTGGAAGGGGTGTGCACGGCAGCGTACGACACCACAGTCGCCTCCGCCACATCGGGCGAGATTTCCGCGTCGGGGTGCACGGCGTCGTCTATGGGCTCGCCAGGCGCCGACCACAAGATGTCCTTTTCCAAGTCGAGTTCCACGAGCAGCGCTTCGTCTTTCAAGGACATGGCGGCGGCGGCTGCTGCTGCTGTGGGGGACGACTCGATGACAATCGACCCGGCCCGGTCCATCTGGTGGTTCTGCACCACGAGGATCTTGAGCTTCTTCTTCTCTGGCACGCCAATCTGGAGGTCACACATCGTGTCGTTTTTGCGCTGCTTCTGTCGAAGGAGGGTCCTCGTGGACTGGATATCAAACACGTTCGACTCGGCGGACGTGAGCTTCGTATAGACGGAGCCGCCGTCCGCGCTGCCAAACACTGCCACGTGGACGCAGTACTGGAGGTCGTCGTCGTCGCTGTCGTCATGCAGCCGACGCTTCTTGGGCAGCTCGCCGTCAAACTTCCACACTTCGGGCAAAAAGTACACGGTCGTGTCAGCCTCCGTCACGTCGCTGGCCGTGCCGCGAACCCACGTCGCAGCCTGGAGGTCTGTCAGCTGCAACAACGTGAGCGTGTGTGGCAGTGACGGACCTGGCTGCACCTTGCGCTGGCAGCGGGCCAGCACGACCACATGTGGCGGCAACTGGACGCCCAACCCGTGGAACAGCTTGGCCTTGACCGGCGCGCGGCACACGCCCTTGCCCGTGTGTTCAAGGCCGTTCATTTTCGCTTCAAAGTAGTTGCCGTGCTCGCGGCAATATGGAAAACACTGCAAGTTTTTGCGGTCGTTGCGAAAATACTTGCGCAAAAAGTACGTTTCCATCGTCACAATCAGCGATGACGCCAGAGGTTGCGGCGTGTCCGTCGCGGGGGTAGCGCGGCTGCTAATGGGAGGCTCGTCGGAGCTTTGGAACGACCCAAACATATTGGAATTGGCCGGGGCGTTGAGGATAGCGCTCAAAATCTCGTCGTCTGGCAACGACGACGACGTGCGCAGCATCATCGAGTCGTCGTCGTCGGGCTCGTTCTTGACGGCGGTGTATCGGTCATTTTCTTGGAAAATCAAATCGCTTGGTTCGTCCTTCAGGAGGTCGGCGAAGTCGTCCAACGTATCTGTCGACTCGCCATGTCGAAACAATGGCGATGGCGGTGTCACGACGTGCGGCGTAAGTGTAGTCGAAGTAGCAGCATTCACTGGTCGATAATCCCGTTCGTCGTCTGTTAAAGGGGTGGTGGCGGCGGCAGAACGCGCCAGGAAAAGCGGCGGCATGTCCACAACCGCTGACCCGGCCCCGCTGCACCGGCATTCCTTGACCGCCCACGGCAACCCCAGCGAGTTGGTGTACTTATCGCATGTGGGGCAAAAGTTGGCGTATTTCAGGTACTTCTCCGGGACGTGCAGCTTGAGGTATTCGTCGTACTGGCGTGCGGCATCCTGTTCGGTTTTGCATGTGTTGACGATGCGCTTGGAGCTGTACTTGGCACCCCACGCCGTCTTGCTCGTGCGCGTGACCCCGCGGAACATGGACGTCTTGCCGTTGGTCATCATGCCGTCGTTGATTGTGCGCTTTGACGAAGACGCGCTCGAGCTGTCTGAGGTGGGGCTCCACTTGCCGCCGCTGCCGTTGTGGTTGTGATGGTCGTCGACGCTCATGTTGGAGGAATACCCAGATTCTTCTGATGTGTAGCCTGTGAGTGAAGGCGAGTCTGGATAAGATCGTGCGTCGATGATGGCGCCGGGGATTGCGACCGCGTGTTCGTCCTTGGTGAATGTGATGCCTACGACATGGCATAAGCTCGACAAGTCGTCGTCAGCAGGCCAGCCTTACCGTCAAAGAAGTTGGGGTCGTAGTCGAACTCGTCCAGCTCTTCAAGGGAGTCAAGCTCTAGCTGGCTCGAGTTTGGCATTGCGTAGCTGTACAGACCTGATTGTGCCATGAGAGTCCCGATGTGTCGCTCGATGCTTTCGTTGTTTCCTTGTACCTGTCCATTGGGGATGGCGTGAGACATGGAGGGTTGACATGAAATCAGGATATTTATATGAATTCTTGAACCATTTCGGAAGAACGAGGCGGTCGTCAAGGGGTTGGAATTGCAGTCCGTTTGTAGTAACAGTAAATGCACGGTCTCTGGAATATTCTCCATCCTCTAGCATATAGCGAGGTTTACATTTGGCTTGTTGAGCTATGTTCAATTGCATTCAATCACAAAGCCACAAGTTCAAAGCGCTGACAAGGCCTGGACAGGTCCTCGGAACTAACTACACAGCTTGTCGTACAGAAAATTCACCCCTCCGTATGACACAGTTGATAGAAATTTGGATCTGGCTTGATTCGATGGGTTAAAATATTGAAGCAGGTTTTAACCGAATGCATCGGTTTATCACCACATGGCGTTTCATAGCCGTGATGCCATAAGTAGTGTATAACCATCCCATCGAATTACTGCAAGTCACGTCAAACGTTTAACCCAAAGTCAATTTGCATAATACCCAATAAGAAATGAACATTATTGGCGAAGACAAAAGCCACGAGTTGACATGTCGACAGAAATCTCGTGGGAATGCGGTAAATTCACCGCCGCCGTCACCCCTGCCGCCGGTCCTACAGTACAGTACGATTCCACATGCTAAACACAATAACATTTGGAACGTCCGTAAGTGCAACATGACACCAAAGACAGCTGCCCAAGTTACTACTTGCCGTTCTACCCACTATGGTGCATTTCATCTAAAGACTACAAAAAAGTGCCTTGTCTTTCGACAGCTACTTTGTATTGATATGTTTTAGGAACATAAGGACAAGACCAACAGAAGTTACGGTTCAAAATTTCGATTGGTGAAAAATTGATCGAGTATGATAATAGAATTTAAACCAACCAGTCTTTTTGATGGAAATATTTGGAGCCAGGCCGCAAAGGAGCATCAAGTATATCTTAGTCTTTGTATACAGCACTTATCCGTATGAAGGTTTCAATTGTATCCGGATTATTCAGAACTTTTAACCTATTTACCAGATAAAAACGTAACTAATAATGATTTAACGTCAACATTTCGTGGGTTTAACTGAAAGAACCGAAGCGTTTAAACTAAAACGTCTCCTCCCGATCTGTAGTCTTTATGGTGCAAGTCATCTAAAGACTACAGATCGGCCATCCTCAGGAGGATACGTTTTACTCTTAAACGCCTACGTTCTTTCAGTTAAACCCACGAAATTGTTGACGTTAAATCATTATTAGTTACGTTTTTTACCCGGTAATTAGGTTAAACACTGTGAATAATCCGGATACAATGAAAACGTTCGTACGGATAAGTGCTGTATACAAAGACCAAGATATACTTGATACTCCTTTTCGGACAAAATGTACCTGGTTCCATATATCTCCGTCGGTTGGTTTAAATTGTATTACCCGATCAATTTTTCACCAATCGAAAATCTGAACCGTAACTTCTGTTTGGCTTGTCCAGTTCTATCGTTATTACGGTATATTTTCCTAAATAATATCAATACAAAGTTGGAATAGCTGTCGAAAGTCAAGGCATTTATTTGTAGTCTTTAGGTGACTTGCACCATAGATGAAATGGGTGGTGCCCTTCCGTCAATTCCTTTAAGTTTCAGCCTTGCGACCATACTCCCCCCGGGCACCATAACGTTACTACAATTTGCTGCTATCTTATGTACAGGATTTGATTGGCTACTTGATTCATGATCTTGTTTTTGATTGGTCGTATATCAATTGCCTGTCGATTTTGCTCATCCGATTGAGCACTCCAATTTCGAATCGACTTAACAATCATTGATTGCCGCCATATATGTACCGGTAGTAACGTTATGCAAACATAAAGTTTTGATTACGATATCATAGACCCGGCAATCATTCATCGCGCATTCTCATCACATCGCTGCTTAATTCAACGCCTGGAACGTTTGTTTCTTGTTGGTTTGCACCGGGGGGACTGCCGCTCCCTATAGTAATCCCATGAAAATACATTTCAAGCCATCACTATCTTAAATACCTTTCGGTGGTGCCCATACACCCCGCGAAGGTCGCCGATAAGCCCTGACAGCCCCTTGGTCTCGTACGGAAAGAACAGCGTCTTCTTCTCCAAGTTTTGCGCCATCTTGAGAAACATGGCCATGTACCGTTGCGAGATGACATACTATTCATTTATTAGAATCCCCATGTGAGACATCGTTTCGAACCCCACACTAGTTCTCCATGTTTACCTCAGTCTGGGACGCCCCGTCTGCCTCAAAAGCCGCTGAAATCAACTCCAGCGACTTACTCTCCGCCCGCGCGAGCTCGACCTTGGCCCCTGCCGACCCTTCCGACCTAGTGCATGATTATCATCAATACCATCGTGAGAATCCACATGGAAATATATATATATATTAATATATATAAATCTTACGTTTTGCGAGTGGATTCTTGTTCCGCCACACCCATGTTGTACTTTTGGAGCTTGGTGCCTTCCGACAGTAGCCGCATCGCCGCCTTCTTGCCCTACAAAAATTGCAGCAAATATGGGCCTTTAGTGACCATCGATCCAATAGTGCCATATTTTGTCGAGCTCTAGTAACTACTACTAGGCTAGTAACTACTACAAGAGGCATACTACTAGTCGTACCTCGGCTTGAATAAAGTCTGCGCGACGGGAGCGTTCGGCAATCATTTGGCGTTTCATGGCGTCCGCGATCGTCGTGCCTTGCTTGGGCAGCATGTCGAGCACTTCCATGCGCTCCACCTACATGAGATACCTTCTCCATTAGGTGGAGCTACAACACAACATGGAGAAGAAGGGAGGAGAGGTGGATAGTAATGACGAACCACGAGCCCCCACTGCGCAAACCGTTCGCCAAAGCTCTTCTTGATGTATGCGTTGATCACGCTTTGAGACGCCAGTGCTTCCGTGAACGTCATGTTGCCAAACACTTCCTTGAGTTGGGTTTGCGCGACGTTGGCGATCGCCATGTTCAAGTCGTCCACTTCGTACACGGCCTACATAGATATAGATGAAGGGGGGGGGAAAGATTGGCATCATGGTGGAAGAGTAGTTGATGGACATGCCACTGTGCGGATATAGTTTACAGTTCAGTTCCCCCAAGACGAAAGGAATGGGAACGACGAGAAAGAATGATCTGACGTCTCATACCTTTTTGATGTCGACGATGCGGTAAAACATGACCGAGTGCACGTCCAACAAGATCGTGTCGCGCGTGTATACTTCTTGCGCGGGGAAGACAAAGATGCTTTCGCGCAAGTCAATGCGGTAGCTCGATGCACTAGCATGTCGTCGTGAAGATGTCGACACGAGACGAGCAGTATGGGGACGTACTCGCGGGTCTCGAGGTGGCCGTTGTACCCCTGCACGACTTTTTTCCACTGGAAGCTGCGAGGACTATCCACAAACGGCAGGACGAAGTGTATGCCCGAGTCGAGCACCTTTTGCACCTTGCCAAAGCGCTCAATCACAATTCCTGCGTCAACATGGTGTGAGGTTACAAGCTGACGGTCAGGTGGCGATCGTACCTTCGGCTTGTTGCACGACGTAGATGGAGTTGTACAGCAGGACTAGCCCGATAAGGACAATGACGCCGAGGACGATGAGGATGGCCACAAGAGAGTCGGCCATGCTTGCGGATGGTAAATGCACCAAAGTTCCTGTTGTTTCTACGAGACCGGGGCTCCTGGGAGCACTTGTGCGGAAATTTATCCGGACAACAGGGCCACCATATCCGGAGGTTGATTTCGAGTGTAGGTTGCAACGTTCTCATATTGAAGTAAGATCTTTCAGTACACGTATGTATGTCAAGGCAGAAAGGAGAGGCGAGGCTGGACGTGAACAGAACCCCATGCTAGAAGTGCGGTACAGTACTACATACCAGGAAGGAGGTACTGTAGCACTAAGCACCAAGGACGAGACAGGATACTGCGTGTTAAGTTATCCTTGTGGTGCCACAACTAACTGTAAGCGCAAACGTAAAGTTCCTCTGAAGCTACAGTATGGCCCACCCGGCTTGTGCGCATCGAATGGGCTTTGAATGGGTCCAAACCCGAAAGTTTTGCGGTGAACTTTCGTGTGAGGTGCCTGTCACATATACCGTACTCTGTCAATTTGTGAAGGTGTTACTTTGGCCTCCTGTGTGTGTGTGTGTGTACTAGTAGCTTCACTAGCATTGTGCAATCTGTGTAAAATTGAGATCAGCAACCTCAATGCGCAGGTACCGTGTAGCGTATATAGGTTTAGACAGCTATATAGACTTGGACTCCTCTGTAAAATGATATAATCCACTGTAAAATTACATAATTGGATTATTACACTTGATTATTGTATGCATATGGTAATTTACACTTTCCGTATCCGGATACTTGCCCCGCCACTGTCCAAATCTATATACGTTACACGGTAATCAAGCAGACCACAGAAGCGTGGCTATCCAGCGTGAAACCATCCAGAAGTAATTCGACGACATACAATTATTAGGTTATGTCACTTCCAAAGCAACTATATCGACCCCACGGCTAAGCCAATCACAGGCAACCCTTGTTAGGTATGGGTGCTATAGACGAGCCAATCACCGACATAAACGTGAATTGAACCAGCAAGAGACGGCATTAAACGCGTTTGGCAGAGCGTTAAACGCGTTACACAGGCGCATCAGTGTCGTCGCCAGGTCGGTTGTAACTGCAGGTTGCAAGCGATCATTTGACGAGAATCTGCCATCGCAGCAGGGGCGAACTTGATGGAGAGTCGCTACCCAAGGAACGTCGTGATCCACGTTGCCAAGGCAGCCACAGGCGACGCCGTGCTCGAACGGCTGCAGGTGCACACCCACCGAGTTGGAAAGTCCAAGCGACACCGGTGTCATCAATGCCAGGCGCGGCTCGTCTTTTTCTGGAGTAAGCGCAATTGCCACATGGTAACTAACGTGCATCCTCTTGCTTGTCAAGCCATTGCCATCGACATGGACTTACTTATGCGTTGGATGAGTGTAGTGTGGGGAAGTCGTGTGTGCACCATGTCGTCGCGTCGTAGCGGTGGATCGACCTGCCACCCGGATGTCCAAGGCGGCGCCGACCCCCATCGTGCAAGCCAAAGTGTGCCTGCACTGCGTCGACGTCCACTTTAACAAGCCCCCATCGCCCCACAACCGCCCCACGAAACGTACGAATGCCGCAGAACCGCCGCCACTACAGCGCACCGCCACGAAGATCTGGCTCCAAAGCATCGTCACCAGCAAGCAACCTCGCCACGAGTCGCGGCGCAGCGGCCGCCACTCCGTGCACCGGTCGTCAATCCACCGGCCCATGCGGAACCACGCGTTCGACTCGCCTCGTGTTCGCCGGACGTCGCGGCACAGCCAGCGCCTGTACCTCCCTCCCAAGCCGACGGCGAAATGGACCAATCCGTGGTGTCCGCCGCCCGTCCTCCCTGACGAAAGTGAGCGGCTACGGACGCTGCGGTCCTTCCACATCCTAGACACGGCGAGCGAAGACATTTGCGACATCCTGTGCACGCTCGCCGCCACCACGTACTCGTGCGCGGTGGCTGGCGTCACGTTCATGGACAAGGACCGCCAATGGTTTAAAGCTCGACATGGACTCAAGCAAGACGAAATCCCGCGGAAGGTGGCGCTGTGTGCCCACGCCATGGCGAGTCCAACGACTCCTATGGTCGTACTCGATACCGACGACGACAGTCGGTTCGCCAAGAACCCCCTCGTGACTGGCCACGCCCAGTTCAAGTTTTACATGAGCGTGCCAATCGTGACCCCGCTGGGGCATCCCCTCGGCACCATCTTCGTGGCGGATACCAAGCCCCGACAACGCGCCGACGCGGACGAGCTGGAGAAGCTCGCGGTAGCCGTACTGCAGTTTCTCATGGACCGTCTCAACAAGACAGATCACGAGGACGTGGTCGCGGCTCACCTGTGGGACCAAAGGGGGACGGACGCCCTTTGTGGTATGGATGTGTAGTGTTCAAAGTATCATGATCATACATGTGGACTATGTTGTGAAGTTGCTACGATGGAGTTGGGATACCATAGCTACCAAACCATAGACGAACCATAATGGCAACACCACCCAAAGTTGCCACGTATATGCATACAGTACGATGGGGAAGATACCTCCTTTCACCCACGATGTAACTTGTAAGCGAGGTGGTACACTATACTGTCAATAGAAGGAATGCCAGAGGCCAGGTACAGGACGAATGAAATAAAATGCCTCGTAGCTATAATGGGTGAACTACTGGCGCCACCAAACAAGTTTTACTTAACGTTACTAGGAAACAGTAGTTTGATTTCCTTCTCCTTCCCATTGTCACGGGACATGATGGAGCGCTTGGTTCAATGTTTCGTAGAAATATCGAACCAGTAAGCTAAAAGTACTAGGAAAAAAGTCGAGGTAACGTTACCTTATCGGTAGCTAGCTACCCCGCCCAATACACCAAGACGACGTATAATACCGCATTGTGTTTGCACCGTGAGCTGTGATCGGCTACAAACATGACTCCAGACATGATTTGGGGTGAAACCGTTTTAGCGGTTACATTGAAACGGCCGACATAACGGTGAGTATTGAGCCAGGCATGCGCCACCGTTCAACTCCGCCTTTGCCCGACTACGGCAGTGTCGAGTACTGGGACAATCGGTACATCGAGGCCGGCAACCAAGCGTCGTTCGAGTGGTTTTTCCCGTACAAAGACGTTCAAGGGTCGTTGGAGTCGTATTTGCGACCGGACAAGTCACTGGAGCGGGTGTTGGTGCTCGGGTGCGGCACGAGCGCGCTTGGCGCAGACCTCCGCAAGAGTGGGTTCCATCACATCACGTGTGTGGACTTTTCTGGCGCGGCCATTCGAAGTATGATGGCCAGGCTTGGAACGACCACTCAAAACCTTCCCCCCATTCAATGTACTCTTCATCAAAACACAACCCCCTTCTTGATGCCCCGATCTCCTCTAGACTTGCAGATGGACGTGCGCGATATGAGTGCTCTCGCAGACAATTCGTTTGATGTGGTCATCGACAAAGGTGCCCGCGTTAATCCACCCCGTTATGTGATGACATTTCACGGCAAAGGTAGTTGTGGCGGGTGAGACTGACGGCAGTCGTGGCTAGGGGTGCTGGATTCGGTGGTGTGTGACGTCTCCAACTCGGTGGGGGCGACCAAAATGATTGCCGAAGTGAGGCGCGTGCTGCAAGCGAAATCCAGTGTATTTTTCGTCTTCTCCAGTGCGATTTGATTCTCACGGCTGTCCTTGAAAAACGTTGTGCCATTTGGGTTCATAGCGGGGTCTTATGCCACCCGCGTGCCGTACATTATTGAAACATCAACGGCAGTTGCGCCGGAGTGGCAAATTACTCCAGTTGTGTTGGGTACGATGGTCAGCTCTTCACTGTGTGACGACGAGTCTCGAGGGCAATATCGTAAATGGTGATTAGGCCAGCCGTCGCATGTGTTGGCATTGATGTTGCGACCGCAGGACAGTACCAGTCCAGAGAGTGCCAATGGGGCAACCACCGCACCCAATGCGACGATGAAAGAGTAGGACGCACCGCGGGTAGGGGTGGTGTCACGAATAAATAATGCACGTTACCTTGGTCGCAATAGCGGTAACGTTAACGTTACTGTATCTATTACTCGTACGAATAACTTACACTACAAGCAAAGCTACTCTGCAGGGGTAGTGGGGGTGGGGCGTCGAAGGCAAGATTCAAGTCCAGGAAGTCGTGTAGTGGGGCCAAGCGACGATGAGATAGCGGTACAACCTCGTTGTGCAGTTGATAGGGCCAGTTCGGACAGAAAGTCCGCTGCCTGATCGACTTCGCGTGGCCCATGCTGTCAGGCGATATGGCCTGAAGGTATGCTTAGCGCAAGCTGGAATGACTCACACCGTAGACGTAGCATTTCCATTGATTATCACCGTCTTTGAAGCCATCGTTTAGTAGTCAAAACACAAATTTCACGTGGAGAAACTCTAGCTAGTACAACCTCTCAACGTTCAATGAGCAACTTGTTGTCGACTAACGTTATACAAACACAGCAATGCATACTGTAGCATGGATATCGGAAGCATTGCAGCATGACGTGGCATAGTTCTGCATGGACTTCGTGACATGTGCGCCACGCGTAACCGCCTTATCATTTTTCAACGAGTCGACGCTATCGGTTACAATCGTTCACTCTGCTCCATTCCTCACCACAAATTCTCCAAAATGGACACGCCCGTCGCTTCATATACTGCTGTCATTGATGGTATCATCAATTCACAGTTTGGAAAGAGTGAATTCCACGAGCGAACCACAATAGGTCTAGGGCTGCTGTACTTGGTGGCTACCCTTGCAAGCAGCTTCTACTACATCATCCTCCTTGTTCCCGACGTCTCGAACACGAACTGTGGTGCGCCCACTCCAATTCGTCCGGGGTGCTCACGTTCCTAGGGGACGTCTACCACACCCGCTTAGCGACACCCCTCGATCTCTTTGCCTTGGCCGTCCAGAAAGACTACGCCGGTCCCATCACGTTCATGGACGTCAGTCCGTCGTATTCCCAGCATATTTTATTGGACAACGTGCTGCTGTTGGAAGGCGCTGTGGCAGCGATGCGCGCAGGGTCGTTTGAAACCAATCTTTTGGCATGATGGCGCACTACTGCTGGGTCGACCTCGACCGATGTATGTATTGGCGCACACAGTCACGCGGCAGGCGCGATGTCTTGTCAACGACGTGGACAACGCCGCTGTGTTCTTGGAAACAACGTCAACGACGTCAACAGCAACACCTACATGTACACGGCCATGCTAAACGCCATCATGTTTACGCCGGTGCAAGTGTACTTCTCGGATGGACCGTCGTTTGTCCAGCGCATCACAACATTTCAATGGCTTTCGACAACAGAGGAGGCGCGCTGTGGCGGTCGTTGGGGCCTTATCTGGTGGCAAACGCAGCTGAAAAACTTTCGCGAACCCCAAGAAGTTGACGAGACCATCCGGATCACGGACGCGCTCGGGCGCTTTACATCAACAAAAACCCCCAGACCGATCGCCGGTCGAATCAGTGAAAATGCGGATTCTGGAACGACGTCGTGTAGGGGTACATGGAGGGCTTCTGCGTCGTGCTCAGCTCGGACGAGGTCGTCACGGTGCGAGATATCGATTGGAATTAGGACCTGAATGCCGGGCGCGAAACCACCCCGGTGTTGACATTGTTTCGGCAGTACATTGGCCCATACGACTCAATTGACGTCATGCTTGTGGTGCCTCCCCAGCCATTGATTTCGTTTCTGGTCGAATTTCAACGAGACATCGGATGGTCGTCGTGCACCCGGTGCCATCTTCGTGGTGGGACATGGTGTACTTCGGAGGAAACACCGCTTGTGTCTACGGGGACCCGCACCCCCGTTTGTACAGGAATCGTTTGGTTATTAGGTCTGACGGAAGCATCACTTGTGTTTGTATGCAGTCCCCGCGGTTGTCTGAATGCGATACGAGTTGAAGAAAGCTGACGTTTAACGGTTATGTGGCCAAGGTTTCTGCCACGATAGATGAGTCAAACTCGTACTTGCTGTAGGAAAGTATTTGCGGCCGTCGCCATGTTGACACAGCTGGCTCTGGCTTCGTCTGAAGCATACAAGTCACACCACTCCGCGGAATTCCCAGTTTTGTGGGCAGCAATAATGGCAACCAGAGTTCGAGCCAAGTCGATGAGTATGGTCAGGGGGTCTTGACTGCATGTGTCGTAGTACCCGAACGATTCCTAGACGTAGGATATCTGGACGCCGTACACACACATGGGGTTGCCTCCGTAAAACGCCCCCATGTTTGTCCACGAGGGGGGGACTGGGTCCACCACGACATCCTCGGCGTTGTCCATGACACGCGACAGCACGGCCGTGTCAACTGTCAAAAGTAAATGAATCAGTTGCAATGGGGGCGCCACCAACTCAACGTCGATCGATTGAATGGCTCAATGAACTGCCGTACGGTGCTGAGGATGGGGGTTTGGTCGTAGCCAATATCGAGGTCAGCATCCCAGTCGATTCCCTTTGCCACTGCGTTCGTGGGGGTGTTCAGAATCAGGCTAAAGTTGTGTTGGAAGCCCCACC